GCAGCAACTTCCCCTCGGCAAAGAACTGGGAATTAAATCTTTGGGGCATAGGCACCTTCCAGTAGCTTTTATTGCATTAGTAGTTAACAGAAGTAGAAAAGAACTTAATAATTGTCCAAATTAAAATTTTTTTAGGTGAAACGGTTACTATTTTTTGATGAAGAAAATCTTTTTAGTCTATTACTAACAAAAAAAAACTTAATTTAAGCTTAATTTAGCTAATTTTTTTATGTTTCTGCTTTAGAATATCCTGGATTGTTATGGCAGCACTTCCTGCCTTATTAAAAATTTTAATGATAAAGAAAAAAAGTTCCAGTGTTTTGGGAGAGGTGCAGAGGGATCCCACAGAGCTGCTTTGCTGGACCATCTGGACCTGAATTCTTGTTCAATCTCTAACTGGCTTTTCACACAAGTTTTAGAGACATTTAGAGGTAGAGTACAGAAGCAAAGGAAGCAGGACCATCTTCCTATTTAGTTTAGAACAAAAACATGGAGCTAGAGGGGCCCACATGTTTGTTAGAGGTAGATAATAAAACATTTCAGGTGTGAAAGGGAATATCAGATTTATATTCCCCCCCCACACACACACACTGCAGATCTATTAGAATCTGTCCTTAAATTACAGCCAAACCCATTTACACAGTAACAGATTAAAACCTTTAGATAACCCAAACATTACCGCCACATATCTGTCTCTACAGTATAACCATTAAAACAACTATTTTCATTCATTTCAGACGGAACTATTCACAGACTTGTATTATATTAAACTGAACTTCCAATTTTCACCACTGTTCGGCGCCAAGTAACATTTCCTCTGATCAAGGAGCAAATCCCGATGATGAGACATTATTTCTTTCATTGTGGTATTTATTCATTACAGGAAATGTTAAGCATTTTTAATAAATACATTTTGAATAAAATTATAGTTTGTTATTGGAGTTATTGCTGTTGACTTTTACTGAAAAGCATTTTTAATAAATCAACTGTAAAAATGTTATTGTAGGATTGCGTAGGCCTATGTTAAGTGAGTGCATGACACAGACATCTCTATGCATGGGAACAGAGATTTCCCTTATTATCAGCAATGATCAATAATGCAATTTATTCATACAATTCCAGGGATTACACAAAATTATTTCAATGACCAGGGGTGTCCAGATGGTGTCCCACAGGGGTTTAAAATACGAAGGTTGTCAGTTTCTCTGGCTTTTCTCCGCCATGTTAATTATTTTTGCACTTTATGTACAGGTTTCTGTCACTACAACAGAACTTAGTGGTAAAGTTCTTCATTTAAAGACAATCTCTGTTCAAAATGGATTTAATAGGGCTTTGGACATTGGAACTCCTCCTTTTTCAAAATTTTTTGGACATTATTGGCCTTTAATCATTAATAACAGGACCAAAGGTGGGGCTGAGAGAGGGAGGACACAGTAAATTTGCATTAAAGCAGGAATCTAACCTGTAACTATGGACTCAGCATATGCTAAATAGTAACCAACTCTGCACCCTTTTGCTACTTTTTAAAAATGCTAGCAACTGTGCTAAAACAGGGCCTAAATAGAAATACAAAGCTAAAATACTTAAAAAAAAAAGAAATTACTAATTTCATTTTAAATATTTGTTTTGAAGCATATATATATATATATATATATATATATATATATATATATATATATATATATATATATATATATATATATATATATATATATATATATATATGTCACATCAAACCCCCAAATCCTTATATTGAATTGTTTTGTACATAGCAGAAAAAGATTCAGTTGTGAAGTTGAGGAAATTATTTTAAAAGCAGTCCCTTAAATTTAGGTCTGTACTTCTAATGCATTAATGAGCTTCAATCTGCTTAGTTAGTATCCATCCATCGGCACACCTTATCCTCTTACAACAGCATGATATAGAACAAGGAGCAGGGTGCATACATTTATACACACTTTATTTTCTTTCATTTAACTCTTAAACCATTGCAGGGACTAAAGGTTTCTAAATGTCTGCAGTGCCCTCTTTTGCACACAGGGTGGTGCTGCTTTCCATGAAACTCACCTCAGCCATTCTGTGCAGGAGCTCACATAATAAGGACCTGGCTTAATGATATGGGCTCCTAACATAATGAGCAGCTGTAACTGAAACACAGGAACGGGAGGGATTTTCAATTTCCGACAGAATAAAGATAGACGTGGTCCAAATGACTCTGAACAAGCTTGTCATTAGACTGGAACTCCCGGGCATCAGCGTCTGCAACCTGGTGCTTGACTGTGACAAACAGAGCTTCTCTAAAGGGGAATTTACAGACACAGTATGTTGTTAAATACATTTTAACAACTGAATATAGCTGTAGTCTTGAGATCCATCCTTTTTTTTCATTGCCATTAGTTTTTAAACTCCACACCTATTTGATCATTGGATACTATGAGATTCCCACAACCTTGAGTGTCACAGTATCACTGTTTACCCAATGGAAATACTTATTTACAGTGTTTGGTGCCTGGAAATGTTCCTAAACAGCTGCACACATCTTTATTATAAATAAGGGAAATATATATAGTTCCTTTCTCTCAGTGGAGTGATCAACAGTGTTAAGGAACAGGTGGGGGAGGGGCAGAACCACATTGCGCGATGCTTATACAGTCAAATGAAACCCAAATTCCTGGCAAAAATGTCATGTTGAGGCTTCCACTGGCATTTACATTAAGAGGACCTTAAACCAGACTTCCAAGATGGAAAATGTGACTTTATAGGAATCACAACTTTTTAAACCCCTAAGAACACCTTGACAGCAGAAACACTAGCATCAGAAAAGATCCTCATATCATCTAATGTTTCTTATACTTTTAGGTAGTAAAGCTACAGATGTAGAGAATATTGGCAAATTGATAATTTTGTCAATTAAATATCTCTTTGTTTACTTTTTAAAAACTTAACACAGATTTGAATACCAAAGCACATTGTTAGATTTCTACATAATTTTCATATTCAGTGCAATGAGAGGCCTGTGAAGTGATTGAAGTCATATAAACTTTATAGACAAAGATTCCGATAAATAAAAAGTTGGCAGGTATTTACATGCAATATAACTGCTCAACTGAAAACAACCCAATTTAGGTTATTTTGCCTAATGAAGATACATTGAGAAGCAGCTTTTTATAAGGCTTGAATTTTCCTTTTTTTAAGGCTATCCAATCCACCTTGGCTTTGAGTTAACCCCCCCCACCCCGTTTTATCAATTTCCTACAGTTGTTCTAGCTACGCAAACGGCTAATTAACCATTTAACAGCTCATGTCAAAGAACATTGGTGCAGACAATAAACGAAATCAATATTAATCAGTTTGGAGTGCCACATACATGGCTTGTAACACAAATAGTGAACAGTGTTTAAGTTATAAAGTTACCAACACCTAGAGTTGATCAATGAATCAACCAGGAGTTTGCTTCTGAAAAAAAAAAAAGTAATGCACAACAGTAGTGTTGTACTCAAGACCTCACCAACTGACACCATGGAGTACTGACCTAAAGTACCGACACAAGGCCAAGACGTTTGTGGGCTAAGACCAAAACCATATAAGGTGTTGGTCTCTAAAGTTCTTGGTCTTAATCATGGTCTCTGTTTCTAAAGGCCTTGGTCTTGTCTCGGTCTTGGCCTCTAAAGTTCTTGGTCTTATCATGGTCTCAGCCTCTACAGGTCTTAGCCTTGTCTCGGTCTCTGCCTCTAAAGGTCTTGGTCTTAATCATGGTCTCTGCCTCTAAAGACCTTGGTCTTGTCTCGGTCTCTAGAAATCTTGACATTGTCTCGGTCTCAGCCTCAGAACTTTTTGGCCTTGTCTTGGTCTCTGCCTCTAAAGGTCTTGGTCTTAATCATGGTCTCTGCCTCTAATGGTCTTGGTCTTGTCTCTGTCTCTAGAAATCTTGGCATTGTCTCGGTTCAGCCTCAGAAGTTTTTGGCCTTGTAGTTGTCTCGGCTTCTAAAGGTCTTGGTCTTAATCATGGTCTCTGCCTCTAAAGGCCTTGGTGTTGTCTCGGTCTTGGCCTCTAAAGGTCTTGGTCTTGTCTCGGTCTCTAGAAATCTTGGCACTGTCTCTGTCTCAGCTCAGAAGTTTTTGGCCTTGTCATTGTTTCAGCTTCTAAAGGTCTTGGTTTTATAATGGTTTTTGCCTACCAAGGTTTTGCCCTTGTCTTTGTACTCCTTGGTCTTGGCTGGTATCTTCTTCACTAAAACACTACACAATATATCTCACTGACTTAGGTCAAGGGCAAAGCTTAAAGGTTTGACTTTAAGCAATGTCATTATGATTTAAAAAAAAAAGAGATGTACACCTTCCTTACTTTTTGTAAGGTGTACATCTCAGTAGTAGTGTGACTTGGATGATGTAATGGATGAAGAAGTGAACTCTGTTAAAATGCATTTCAATACAGTTTATTTATGTAGAGCCAGTTCTCAATACATGTCATCTCAAGGCACTTAATAAGGACCCTTGGGGGGAGTTCCCTTCTATCAGCTTATGACTTTAAACTTTAGTACACTTCTATTACGTATGATGACAAATATCCAAACCACATAAGCTGCTCTCCGTCTGAATCAAACAGAAAATAAATTGGATGGCGCTATATTCAGAGTATGGACGAAATTAAATGGAGATGATGTGACATCACCATCATTAGGATTTACTTGCTTGAACACCCTCCAATGTTTCAAATAAGATATATCTACCATAGGCATTTAATCTTAATCAAAGGGCCAATTTGGTTTGGATACATCTGTATTTTACTATATATATAAATATATATTCATGTGTGTGTGTGTGTGTGTGTGTGTGGAGTTAATACTTTTCTTTTTTACAGTCTGCTAATTGTTTTGGGGGCTTCTAAGCACTGATAGACATGCGCACAGCTGATGGAAGAGAGGCACATCTGCACTGACGTCACCCTCCCCTGCAAAAGCAGCCAATTTGAAGCCTTCCTGGACATACCCTCTCCTCTGCTCTGCTGCGCTGTGAGGAGCAGCAGCTCCCAGCCAACTTTAGCTGCTGTTTGATGCACCTTTTTTCCCCTCCCTCCTCTATCCAAGCTTTCAGAGCTACGCTGAGCCACAAAGCATCAAACATACAGTCCAGATTATAAAAGATGGCAGATAGACTTCAAATGGACCCCTCTACTGGAGGAAGTCCAGTACTCTGAAAAGCTGAATAAGAGGTTTTTTTTTAGTTTTTTTTTTTTTTTCAGTGTCTGGGGCTGAGATACTGCTGCAAGGGTGTCCAGGCTGGGGTGGGAGGATGGGGGGGAGAACTCACTGTAAATCCAGAGGATGGCAGAGTTCAAAAAGGAGATGAGAAGAGCACAGTGGAGGAGGTTTGTGTGTGGAACTTAAAAGGTTGCAGAGAACTTTTTTTTTTTTTTTTTTTTTGCTAAGCCTCACTTTGCACGCTTGGACTGGAGCTGACAATGAAGATGAGCATGGTAAATCTCGCCCAACACTTCTTACATCTCAGTGTCTGCTGAGATCAGGTCGGTATCTTAGCGCTGAGTTTATCTGTGCGTGCAGTTAAATCCCCACAGACTGAGTTTGCGCTGCAGCTTCAGCTTATTTGAAGGCAATGCGAGTTTAAAAGAAAGCTTCTTTGCATGTTGCATGGAGGCAAAATAATACAAAATAGAATTAAATAAAAATGCGCACTTGAAGTCAGGTTTTACGCACCGTTACTAAGTTTGCAGATTATCGCGCAAAAAGTTAAAGAGCTCCACGTTGCATGCAACAAGGATGATAACAATAATAAAGCCTGCGGTGTATTTTGATTTGCAGGGGCTCCCGGAGGGTTGCGTTGAGGTACCGGTGTAATGCATGCGGGCCGGCTGCCAGCTGTCTGGGTCAGAGCGGCCAAGTAGGTTGCGCTGTCTGTCTGGAGCGCTTGAGCTCCACAGCTGGGGAAATACACGCAAAGCCCGGCTGTCCGCTATGGTTCTGGAGTCACTTTCAGCCCACTTTCCACGCTTTATCACAGATTATCACGTGAACTTGTAAGAGCAAAGAGAAATTTCAAAAATGAGGATGCAGACTTTAAGATTCACGCTGCCTTTCAACACGTTTGTAGTCCCACTGCAACCGTCATTTAACTGTCATCGAGGTATAAAAGCGAAATGCATAATCGGACCTTTTTAAACTGAAATATATTTTCATTCATTTAGCCGCAGTTTTTTTTTTTGTTAACTTAAAAAACATCTGCAAAAAATGATAAAGTCTCTAGTAAAGGGTACAGATACGTTATTTTATTTTTTATTTTTTTGAGGAACCTTCTTTTGCTTGAAGTTACCATCTTCAGACATTTAGACCAAATATTCCGCCCATCTCGTAAGGCTTAAATTATTAGGCGGATCAGTTTGCATGGAGAGCTCCAGTGAGGTAGGCACCCCATTATTGGTCTTGCTGATTATTAATGGTCCTTTTGTGAAGGGTCCAACTCTACTCCCATTCCCCCCAATCAGCATCCCGCAGCATGATGTCCCCACCACCTTGCTTCACAATGTGACCAGGTTAATAGGCAGCATTTGATATTCAACCTCTTTTTAAACCAATTTTAGCCTTCTTCCACATAACTAATGCGTCATCCATAGGGTATTTGACAACCCACAGGGCTGCTTATATAATCAATTTAACAACACTTTCCTTTTTACCTCTCAAGTCCAGAGCATTTTGCTTAAATTCCCTTTCTTTCGGCTCCTCAACTTGAGTTCAGGATAATTGCAGCTCCTCCTACATATATAGTATATATGGCTAAGTAATGCTTTTTTATCCAAGATTATCAGTGCAGTTTTGCTTAGATTTTACATTGTCATATGAGTCATTATTTGTATGAGCTGTTAGATAGGCTATGTGTATTAACCAAGCTTCTGACTATCTTTTTCTCTGACTTATCTGCTGTGTTCTCCATGGGGCTGATTGTTTGCTAAGGTAATCTAACCAGTGGATAGCTGACTAAATTGCACTTTTGAAATGTGTCCCCACTTATATTAAGACATTAATTCACCTACATGCAGATATGTAGGCATAGTAATGTTCTTGCCCAAGGATACTTAAACAGCTAGAAATGAACCTCTAACTTTCCACTTACCAGCTCATGCAGTTACCTTAGGGACTCTACTGAACAGGCCTTCCCAAAACAGCTATATCAATTTGGATCATAGCACACAGTGGTTGAATATTTTCAATATTCAGGTGATTTTTGTCTATATTTAGATTTAATTGATTTGTTTTGGGGTATTCGTTCAATTCAGTTAAATTCAGTTTAATTACATGGTTCCAATTTACAAAACCATATCATCTTAATGTATTTATAGAGACAATTCAATCCAATCATACAGTCAGGTTAAACTTTTTCTATCTAAGGAGAGGCATCTGAATGAATTGAGTTGTTGGCTTTGCAGAATTCTTTTGCCTAACTACTTTTGATTGAGCATGTGGCAACACTAGGTGTTAGTTTGTGTTGTTAAGTTTGACTCTTTAGCAATCCCTCACAATAAGCATGCATGCAGGCACAGTGCAGAGGAAAAACTCCCTTCTAACAGGAAGAAACCTCCAGCAGAACCAGGCTTAGTGTGAGCGGCCATCTGCCGAGGCCGACTGGGGTTCAAGGAGACAGGGGAAGACACACCAAAGGAACAAAGAAGCACTGATCTATAATTGCTTTCTATGTTAGAAATGGTAATGGTAAATTAGCCGCATAGGTGGCCCTGACAGGGAAATAAGGAAAGAAACTGTTAAGCAGACAAGCTTTGAGCCAATCTTCTTGCCAAAGTGATGAAATGGAGCACATATAGTTAGTAACAGTAAAACTTGAACCCACAGCTATTTCTAGGAGAGATACAACACTAAGTACTGAAAAACAAGCCAAGGTGTTGATGGCAGCAGCCCAGCTGATATTTCTCTCCGGACTGGTATCACAGCCAAATAGTAACATTCCAGATGAAGCTACTATCATGAGAAAAAGCGTAGAGAACAAGAAGTTATGGGTTGCACTAACACTAACAAATACCGCAGAATTGGAAAACAAGAGATACAACACTTAGTACTGAGGCAGTACCGAGGCAGAATGATGAAAAGTTGTCCCTATGTCTTCTAGCAGCCTAAGACTATAGCAGCAATTAGCTTCTATGGACTATATGAGGAAGAACAAGTGGAAAAGCAATAGTTAAAAACAGTTTAATATTCTTCACAGGAGTGCAGATGGATCAGCTGGGACAGGTTTCCCAGGCAGAGTTTCTGATTTAAACTTCCAACTGAAACTGATGGAGAACGGAGGTGTTTTTATGCCAGCTGCTGACATGCATTCAGAAGCCCCTGCGATGTGGATGGACTCACCTTCAGGGAAACTCTGAGACCTGGATGAGCAGCGGAGCGTAGGCGGGGAGTGTTTTAGTGAAGAAGAGAAACAATGAACCTGTTACGGCGTGGGATCAGACTGACTTTGTGCTTTTAACCCAGCTGCAGCGCCCCCTCCCCTCACCCCATGTCACATCCTTCCCTGAATTATGGAAATTTTGTGGAAGATAATGACTTGGACTCTGAGCCTTGTGGTGATGGCTGCTTCTGAATTTCAAAGACTTTCGCACAGCTCTCAAGGTATGACTGGAACAAATTGTAAAAAATGGCTTAAAGCTTCTATCAAAACCTGCTGACTTATCCTTTCTTCTCTTCTTCTCATTTCCGGTGTTCCTGTGAAAGAGGAGTTCATGTCTTACCTGGAGCACTACCAGCTGACAGTCCCGGTGCGGGTGGATGAGAATGGGAACTTCCTGAGTTACGCTGTGAAGCACCAGCGGCCGGGCCGTCGGAGACGTGCTCTGGGGGACACCGCAGTAGATCCCTCAGAGTCTCGGATCTTTTACAGATTGTCAGCGTACGGGAAGCACTTTCACTTAAACCTGACACTTAACCCCAACTTGGTGTCAAAACATTTCACAGTGGAGTACTGGGGTAAAGAAGGGCCAGAGTGGCGTCATAATATGGTTGATAACTGTCACTATGTTGGATTCCTGCAAAACCAGCACAGCACAACCAGAGTGGCGCTCAGCAACTGCAAAGGCCTGGTGAGTAGAACCCACCTCTGAGGGACAGGTTTGTGATAAGGTACATGACGATTCACACCAATCCCCTCAAACCCTCATATAAATATCAGACAACTCACACATGCATATCGGCTGCTCAGCCGAGAAGATCTGAATGCTTGTCTTGGCTTCCTTCCACTTGGCACTCTCAATCTTCTGGTAGATTAGAGTGAGGTCATGCTTAAGAAGAAAAATCTAGCAATTTCAGTGATCTGAGAATGTGACACCTCAGCAGCTGAGATCAAATTTCTCTAGATGTCATATTCAGCTCATGTGTCTCAGCCAAATGCAAACTCTTAGTTTAACTTTGCCTTGCAAAAGCTTAAGTGCTTTTTGAGCAAATTTGTCAATTTGTTTCATTAAGGTTTTAGGGCAAAAACAACTCCAATCAGTGGAGTTCTTGGCTCAGATCAGCAAATCATTCAGGGTACTTTTTTTTACCAGATTTCAGCTCCATTCACTTTCCTCAGAATGTGTTCTTTGTATCCCCAACTTTATATTCCCTCCTTAAAGGAATAGTACACCCAAAACATGATTAGCCTTCATTTTCTACTCACCTCCATGCTGAACAACACTCTGGAGTACTTTTTTGATATCTCAAATGCATCTGGAGATCTGGGAGGCTTCTTGCTGTCTGCTGACATTCAAATAATGGAGGTCCATGGCGCCCGAGACAGAAAGGTCCATAAAAGTCCACAAAAACGTGTCAATATTCCTCCATACTGCTCGTCCAATGTAATCCAAGTGTCCTGAGTTGGTAGCATCCAGAATTTACTCGAAACGAAGTCATTTAGAATGTTTTTAGAGCATAAACAGTATTGTATAGGATTTCCTAATAGCGCCCCCATGCGCGCTCACGATTCTACGGAAGCCGGCAGACCAAACCGGAAGAAAGTGCGCATTCAGCGTCTGGTCTGCCGATAATGCAAGCGTAGAATAAGAAATGTGCTGTTTACCTGTGCAAAGAAAGAAACAACGAAAGAAAAATGTCTGAGGACTTCAGTGTTGAGGAAGAGCATGAGTTCTTTGCCGAGCTGAATGCGCTGGTTTGGTCTGCCGGCTTCCGTAGAATCGTGAGCGCGCATGGGGGCGCTATTAGGAAATCCTATACACTACTGTTTAGGCTCTAAAACGTTCTAAATGACTTCGTTTCGAGTAAATTCTGGATGCTACCCACTCAGGACACTTGGATTACATTGGACGAGCAGTATGGAGGAATATTGACAAGTTTTTGTGGACTTTTGTGGACCTTTCTGTCTCGGGCGCCATAGACCTCCATTATTTGAATGTCAGCAGACAGCAAGAAGCCTCCCAGATCTCCAGATGCATTTGAGATATCAAAAAAGTACTCCAGAGTTTTGTTCAGCATGGGGGTGAGTAGAAAATGAAGGCTAATCATGTTTTGGGTGTACTATTCCTTTAAGGCATCCTTGCATAGAACAGGGTTTTCGCGGGTCATTAAAAATAATTAAAAGCCATTAATTTTTTTTTATTAAGGCCTTAATTGGCATTAAAATTCATTAAATGTGATTATCGTGGCATTTAAAATGCTTTACTAAAAAAAAAAAAAAAGATATAAAAACAATTTTGTCAGATATATTATATCAGATATAACTGGTTCCATGTGTTTGCGCGGAACTGCTTCCGGAAAGGGTTCGTAAAAAAAAGCGCAGGAAAGGCTAGAGAATGGGGAAAATGCTAATTTTAACAAAAGTGGCTAGAAAACGAGGAATTCGTGACATGTCTGCAGCCTGTCGACTGTGAAAATGACTCAGGTGAAAAGGATTCTGATGTGTTTATATATATATATATATATATTTATATGAGAGTAATGGGTACTTGTTGATGCCATTAATATTATTTCTAAGAGCATTAAAAGAGCATTATAAAGCATTAAATAAGAGTTCCTCATTCGTGTATAAAACCTGTAGAAATAACTCTGGAACAGTTCACCTCATTCGTTGTGAATGTACCTTTAGAGATACAGCCACATCCTTCCAGGATTACTTTTTATTTTCCTCCCATCATCTCATCAGACCTTTCCAGCCTCTTTAAACCTCCTGAAGGGAATTGTCCCTGTAGCATGATGCTGCCACCACAAGGAGGGTGTGTTCAGACTTTATTTTCCTCCATTTTGCATGTATGCCGAAAATGTTGCTTCTATATGACCCCAGAGATGGCAAAAGTACTCACTTTCCGTACTTGAGTAAAAGTACAGATACTTGTGTTAAAAAATACTCTGGTAAAAGTGGAAGTACTGATTAAACTTCTTTACTCAAGTAAAAGTACCAAAGTACAGGCTTGTAAATGTACGGTACTAAAAGTATAAAAGTAAAAGTAGAAACCACTTTTTTCATGCCGTTACCTACATTTTAAATGGATGTCTGCCAATAGGACTAGATCTCCGTTGTGTTCATCTCGTCGTCCATACTACTATGCTAACGCCACCGCCACCAAGCTGCAATGATTTGCTGCCAATGAATACCGCCGAATCTGTCGATTCATCTTGTAGTGGTGCGTCAAATGCAACGTAGATTCCCATCCAATTAGATTGAATTTGGTATTGATGACGTGAAAAATAATAACGGTAACTCCATTGAAATGATTCAAAACTAAAGTAACGAGCCAATTTTTTAAAATGTAAGGAGTAGAAAGTACAGATATTTGTGTAAAAATGTAAGGAGTAGAAGTAAAAAGTCGCCATAAAAATAAGTAGTAAAGTAAAGTAAAAATATCAGAAAAATCTACTTGAGTACAGTAACAAAGTATTTGTACTTCGTTACTTCCCATCTCTGTATGACCCTAATCCTTTCCTTTAGGAACTAGTCAGGTCTCTTATTTTCTGTAATGGACTAGAACATAAGAGACCTGACTCAAAGAGCATGTCGTGAGGGTTTTAAAATTTATTATTATTTGTTGATTTGGGGGAATAACAGTGGCATGAAAGCACACACTTAGTAAAATATGGCAAAAATATCCCTGTAAGCTGCTGAGCACCAGTTAAAATATCACAAATAATATGAGTTATGAGTATTTTGGCGGATCAAATGCATCCACTTATAACATTTACTTTCACTGCTACCAAGACTGATAGCAGGCGTAATTAGTGTCTTCAGTATTGAAGCAAGAGGTTTATATAAAAAAAACATTAAAAAAAACAAAAAACAGTTTGTTTAACCATGTTTCATTGATGATAACGCGTATTGAATGGTAACGAATTATAGTTATTATATTGTCCTTTTAAGAGAACTTAATAACCATGATTCTTTACTAGGTAGTTTGCATGGGAGCCACAAGCTGCACTGGATGCTGTTGATGCTACAGTACAGACAGGTCCAAAATTAATCATACCCCTTTTATACCCCTGCAAGTGTTGGCCTATTGGATTAGAGCAGTGTGAGAAGGTTGCAAGTAACCCCTCAGCCTCCATTCTGGGTACCTGAGCAAAACCCTTAACCCCACATTGCTCCCCTGGCTCTGCACAGTGGCAGCCCACTGTTCCCCAAGGGGATGGGTTAAAGGCAGAGAGAGAATTTCCCCATTGTGGGACAATAAAGGGATTTACAGGTTTAATAAGGCTTTTAGTTTTAATGGAATGTCTTTGTTTTAATGATTGGCTATAACTTTAACATTTAGTAAAAGGCCCAGTCACAGTCTGTTAGAGACTCTAAGATTAGGGGCATGGCAATGAAGCCTTTCCACTTCTTACAAATACTGCTAATTAGCAACGAATATTGTCAAAGAATTAGTGGAAAAAAACAAAAAAAGATGTTCAGAAACTGTAAAAATGGTTTAAGGATTTTGCAATAGACATAGTGAAGAAATGATAAAAATAGAAATAGTGTTTCAAAGCATTTCAAAAACTATTTTTTGATTATTATTTTATTTACTTACAAAAGATTGGTTGAGTTTTAATATTTGTGTCATTTTCAAGGCAGAGCCAGACTAAAACATTATAGAGGTCATTAGATTTTGCAAATCAGTAAACCAGAGAAATGTATAATTTTCACATGGATGATCCTTTTATAACAGTTTTCTTATCTTTTGAAAGACACCCACCCCGTTCCTTTAAAAACGAACTTCTTATTTGATTAAAGAAAATAATTTGAGTTGCATATAAATAATTTAGGACTTAATTAGGGATGCACGATATTGGGATTTTGGCCGATATCCGATATGCCGATATTTTAAAACTCATGTAGCCGATAACCGATATCGATACCGATATTAAAGCTGGATAAAAATAAGTAGTCATTGAAAATAGCAGTTTTGTTATCCATTTCTGACACTTTGAAAAATAATATACTCAAATATATTTTCATATGCTGATATCAAATTGATTTTTAAAAACGCGGTATCGATCTATTTACCTTTCAAAATCTCGTGAAATTTCATCGTTCTGTTACAAACTCTCGTGATATTTCGCAAATTCTTGTGAGATTTTGTTAGTAAAATAGATTGATACCGCGTCAATATATCAACATATAAAAATATGGCAACATTTCGTGGATTTTCGGGGGATTTCGTAGCATAACGATGACATATAGCAATATTTCATTAGTAAAAGAGATTGATATGGTGTTTTTAAATGGCAATATATCAGCATATGAAGATATTGTGATATTTTAATGTATTAATATTTTTTCCCTCATCTTTAGAAGTTTTTAAGTCTGTAAAAAAGAAGTTTTTGAGGAAGAAGAAGTAGTATTTTTCATTTTTTTTTAGACTTTAGAAACTCAGAAGCTGATCAAATATCGGATTAAATATCGGTGGGGTGGCCGATGTCCGATATTCAGTTTTAAGGACGATACCGATAGGGGGCCGATTATATCGTGTATCCCTAGACTTAATAGTATTTTTTTAATTCAAATTGTTATTTTAACTTTCTGTTTGTGATATAAAAGGCCGCTAGGTCATAGAAGCCTAAAAGCTCAGACAATACAAAATATGACGATAAGATTCTGTTCTATTCAGTCGTATTTATTTGTATTCTATTTGCTTTTTTTAAAACTAACTGCTTTTCTTTCTTCCTTTACAACAATGCAAAATTTTGTGTTAGTCTTTCACATAAAATCCTAATGAAATAATTAAGAGTTTTTGGTTTTCTTGTTAGAAAATTGTAAAAAAAAAAAATTATAATAATAAATCAAGGGATATTAATAGTTATGCAAGGCACTGTAAAATAAATCTTAGAAGCGCTAATAAAGTGCCTAATTATTGTGTCTGGGCTTTTAGTCATCCAGAGACTGTGACTGTCCAGCGTCTCCTTGCTAATCAAGGAGCTGGACGTGGTTTTAATAGCTGCTATCCCTCCGTGCTTCGAGTAACTCTAAAGAAGGAAGAAAGGGCCCAGCTTCTTATTGGCAACTAGACTCATGGGGAGCAAACATGTGGCCAAATGTGTTGGCAGGACTTGCGCTGAGTATCATAAATTGAATTAGTGTTTGCTCTTTTTTTCCCCTCCAGCACCAAAAATGGACAAAAACTGTGTCTGTGCTTTAATGTAATCAGCTGTCTGGACGGTATGAGAAGCTGACATCACACACTTGTAAAACCTGTGCATCGAGCGTGTTTCTTCATGAGTGTGTTATGTGTTGAATTGCTTTTATTGTGGGTTTTACGCAGCCAAGGCAGCTTTTTTTTTCTTGCTATAAATCCAAACTGAGGGGCTTCTTGCACTATATGCTCCACAAAAGCTATTGAAAAAAGAAAACAATGCTTCAATGTTGCCTCGGAATAATTGATTGTTTGAGATCCCTAAGTTTAACTAAATATTTGCAAATAATATATATATGTGAAACACTCTTTAAAGGGAACTACTAGAAATTACATTAGAGAACACTTAATATAACAGATTTGAATAGAATAAAATGACATCATAGGAGCTTAAAACAGTACATATTACATTTTCATAACATGTCAAACTAGCAACCACTTGAAAATCAGTTTTATCGTAAACTCTTAAAACTGCTGTTGTCAAATTTTTTGAAGTTTAGGACACTCAGGTATTTGATGGTGTGTTCTTTGTACCACTTGTGTGAGTTCAGTATTTTTTTGTTTAGGAAAAGGAGATTTCCAGAAGAATCAGACTTTTCTAACTTCATATTGCATTTAACTTAACTTAATATTTTTTTTTTGTAGTAAAAATCAGTTTACCTTTGGTTTTAAAATGTATAAACCTTTTTTTTGCCACTTTAATTGCGGTTTTCACAATAAATTAGTAGATTGAAGGCATGCATTGAGGGTAACCAATCTCAAACAACAGCTTAAACACACTGCTTTCTTTTGTGAAACATGGAAAGGTAAAAGGAAATGAGGCAAGAGACCAGGAAGACAATGGGCTGTTTCAGATGCTTTAAGGGACAACATTCATCTGTTAAAATAAACATATGCAAGTACATAAATATATTTTGTGCAGAGGGCAACACAGACTCAGTTGGATGCTAGCACTCCTGCTTTGGTGTTATTGTCAGCAATACTGAAGCTCCATAATTTCTTCTCTGTGAATTACTTTTCATCTGAATCGACACGATGCTTTCCACCCTGCTGTGCCATGAAAAAAAACCTCCTTAACGTTTTTAATTTTCTCTGAATTTCAAGTGATAGACCAACACAAAGAAACACCTAATCTGGCAGTTAAAGGGTGCATGGGGTCAACAATTTTTCACCTATATATTGTGAAAATGGTTAACTGGTCAGATAATAATAATAATTGAACTTTATTGATCTCACATTGGAGAAACTAACCTCTGCATTTAACCCACCCCCTTGGGAGCAGTGGGCTGCCCTCGTGGGGCGCAATTGGGGGTTAAGGGTCTTGCTCAGACACCCAGGTCTGTGGGAGTTGGTTTTGGACTCACAACCTCAGGATTCCAAGCTCTATGACCACTAGGCCGCAACTCCTCCTAAGATCAGATCACAATCCGGCTAAAAACAGAGTGAGACATGGAGGCCACATATATATAATGGAAGTGGTTGACAACAACAGCCCAGCTGATGCATCCTTCCAGTATGACATTAAAGCCAAACAGAACCAGGTCAGATGAAGCTACAATGATCAGGAGAGAGCAAAAGAAATTAAATTGAGAATTAACGTGGAATTGGAGAAAAGATGTAAAATGTAGCAGAGTGAAGAAAAATGTCCCTATGTCCTCCAGCAGCATAAGCCCATAGCAGCATACTATAGAGATAGTTTATGTGAGCCACTCTTAGGTTAAGCTTTATCAAAAATGATCGTTTTAAGCCTGGTCTTAAAGTAGGCAAGGGGTCTGGCTCACAAAATAAATCTGGTAGTTGGTTCCACAGGAGAGAACCCTGATAACTACAATATCTACCCCCATTCTACTTTTAGAAATTTGATCAATCAGATAACATCCCAATACAAAATATTGTTGTTTGTTAATGTGAAAAAAATGAGGGAATAGTTATCCACAAGCCACTATATAAGATTGTACACAGAAAATTGTAAAGTTCACTAAGGAGAGAGAAATAGTAAACTCTGTGTACCTCTGCATAAGTAAATATTCTTGCCATTAAACAGAATTGTAATTTAACAACTTAATATTGGGCTCTGACTTATATTTTAAAAGAAGGCACTGTACATTTTCCTACAATCTTTGGTGTGTTGGGGCCTTTGCAGTGGAGAGAAAACATCCCCTCCATGTGATGACAGTTCTCAGCAAGCAATTCACTCCAAACCAATTAGTGGAAGGATGCCAGATGAGCTTTTTCCATTTAGGTGTATTTTGAAAGTGCCTTAAAATTGCCTAGCAACCGTATGAACACAAACTACTTTCTAATACAAAGAATCATTTGTACTCTGGCAAGGTAGGTATTCAGACTGGAAGGCAATCAATTTGCCAGGGTTTGACATATGGTGCCAAATTTATTAAGATATGATTTCAAAACTTCCTGCCGCATCCAAACATCTGCTTTTCATCTTCTGTGTCACTGCTTTTACTCTCATCTTTGCACAATAATTAAGCAGATAGGATTTTTCTGAACAGAGACAGACTTGCAAATGTTCAATATTTTGCCTCTTAACACTAAGCTGGTTATATCTTGCACCTTTGTACTCAGATTATCAATTTAACATGATTTTTTTTTTGCGGTTTCTAACCTGTTTCGTACTGTCATTTTCTTCTCCAACAAGCATGGTGTCATAACAACGGAGGAAGAACAGTATTTAATAGAGCCTTTAAAGAACACTTCCTCCACCACCTCCAGTGAATGGAACCTGGAAGGAGCTCAGCAACATGTTATTTATAAAACGTCTGCCATCCCCTCACCGCAAGAGCAAAGCCAGGAGTTCAGCTGTGGCATTTCAGGTTGGTGAACCTCCATCTGGGTTGGATTCTGTGTGGGTGGAGCTGACGCAAAGGAAGGTCTATACATAGCAGATTAGAGGAAGTGCTGGTTTGGTACTAGGCCCAGGTTCTGGTAGACATAACTGGACCTCTTTTGAGCCAAACGAGTTCCTGCGGTAGTCACCTTTCAACCTGGAGGACTAAGTGTTGCTTTATTTTTCACAAAAGCCCATTCATTGCATACAGGGCCTTACAAAACCCTTAGTATTTCACATTTTGTCACATTGTAACCACAACTTTTAATCTTCATAATTGTGGATGTTGTGTGACAAACTAACTCAAAGTATGATATAATTCTGAGGGGAAATCAAAATAAAACAGTTTCAAAGAGTTTTAAAAATGTAAACTTGAAAGTGTGCACATATTGTATGAATCCCCTAAAACTAGCTTTCTACTTTGCTCCCATCTTTAACTGTACTTGCAGATGTAAATGACCTCTTCGGGGTATGTCCCTACCAGCTTTACCAATGGCTGAAGTTTTTACCCATTCTTCTTTCCAAAACACATCAGGCTCAGTCAAATTGGATGGTGAGGGTTTGTTAACATCAGCTTTTAAGTCTCCTTACATAGATTTAGGGTTAGAACCTCCACCTCATTCAAGTCTTATAGCATCTCCTTACATTAATCAGGTCCAACCAGATTCAGTGTAATTACCACCTGTAGCTTTTTGTATATAAGTCAGAATATTCAGCATGGTTCTAAGCACCATCTCCCTCATGTTTGCTGTGTCACCTTGGAGACTACAAGAGGGACTGCCAGGGGCTTTTTTATGCCAATTATCCATAAACAGTCAATACATAAAGTACATGGCTTAACAAATTAGCTTTGAAATTCTGCAGTAGTTGCCAAGGGTATAAATTCAGAATTCTGCTAAACAGACGCACGCACGATAATTACAGATATAAGCATTTTTTTTTTAAACACACACATGTAAACTACTTTCTGTGAACTGGCTATGTGTATAAATTAATTACCATGAGGCTCCAATATATTACAAAGACTTCATGCTCCTCTTGCTTTTTATCCTATGCTCCTGTAGATTATCTCCTACTCTAGTGTGGGACTGTTTCTGTGTATTCATGTTAACTTTTCTTTGAAGATGGGACCAACTGGGAAAATAAATTGCCTGTGATTGGGTTTTTTTTTTTCAGGAAATCCCACCTTTTCTGTCTAGTTGCCACCAGTGTTTGTTTTACCAGTGTTTGATATTACACTGTCTCAAGTACAGAGTAACCCTTCCCCTTGGGGAGCAGTGGGCTGCCATAATGCAGCACCCGGGGTGCAGTGTGAAGATTAAGGGTCTTGCTCAGGGCCCCAGATTGCCAGTCTGTGGGAGTGGGGCTTGAACTCAGATTCCAAGCACAATACCCTAACTACTTGGCGCCGGTCCTCAAAGCAGGCATTAGAGTGAAGGGTCTTGCCTAAGGACCCACACTGGTAGCTCCTTCCCCCCAGCTGGGATACCAACCCAGGCTTCCTGTTTGCAGGATGGGTGACTTACCACTTGAGCTAGCCAGTTGCTAGCCAGTGCATTCAAGCCTCACTTTCCCCAGTATAAATAGTGAAGCTAATGTAAGCCTAATTGATATGGAGTTCCAAATTTAAGAATAATTTTAGAGCATATGGCTACAGCTGTCAGAGCAAATTACTTTCTTAAACTAAGTTTTTTTTTAAATGACTTCACTTGAAAAAAACAGCAATTAACCTGTAGATGCTTTGCTAATTGAACTTTATTGATCTAACATTGGAGAAATTCACCTCTGTACTTAACCAATCTCCTTGGGCAGCAGTGAGCTGCCATTGTGTGGCACCCATTGAGCAGTGTGGGGTTAAGGGTTTTGCTCATGAACCCAGAGTGGAGGATGTGGGGATCAAACCGGGCACTTGCAACCTTGTCAGGACACAAGCACACTGCTCTAACCCACTAGGCCAACACTGCATACTTGCTAACGTTACTGGTCGCAACAAGGAGAAAAAAAAGAGGTGGGATTTACTAAAATCAAACCCAACTTCGAACCGTTTTGCAACTTCTTCAATGATGTGTGTTTTTTGCTTTATAGAGAGATTAACTTCCCCCGAGTTTGGGATCTTCAGTTGACATCTGGTATTGCTGGAATTTATTTAGGAAATTCCTAAAAAAAGAAAAAAAACTAAATACAAATACTAGTTACACATTTAAAAATATTTGGTGAAAATGTATATCTAGTTTTATCACATAAAATCTACATAAAGTCTAAGACATTTGTCAAGTACTATTGGTAGTTTTTAAATGTGGTTTTTCAGGTAAAAAATTAACCCTTAAAACAGAAAAAATGTATTAATTCAGGTTGAAACAAAAAATGCTATCTGTGCAGAAATAGTAAAAAGCGAAAAATGCCCATCTGGATACTTTTCTACTTAGGCAAAGGAAACAGGAACAACGGTCATTGACTTGTTCTAACATGTACGGTGTCAAAGCTTTTCTTAGAGCATCTGGATCATAAAACAAATGCTGGAAAGTTCAAAGGGGAGCATTCCCGATCTGCCTCTATCATACAGCAACCAGCCCTTCTCTATGACAATATGTCATTATTTTCATGACTTCTTTAAGCACCCTGCCTACCTGTCATTCACAGACCTCATGAAAAGCAACGTACCTTGCCAATTTGGAACACCCTCCCCTGTTCACTTGTCCCCTGTCCCTCAAAACGTCAGCGAGCAGTCGAAAGGCGCGCACAGGCAGAGGAGGTCGGTCAGCTCTGAGCGCTTCGTGGAGACGCTCGTGGTTGCCGATAAGATGATGGTCGGCTACCACGGCCGCAAAGATATTGAGCACTACATCTTGTCTGTGATGAATATTGTAAGTTTGGTCCTGCTTTTTGCTTCTTAACACGCCGCAGATGTCTGTGTTTAGAGAGGGATTTATAGACTCATGGGGCTAAGACATCTGACTTTATGTCTTTCCTTCTTTTCTGGAGGTCAGGTTGCCAAACTGTACCGTGATTCCAGCCTGGGAAATGTTGTGAACATTATTGTGACCCGTCTAATTGTTCTTACTGAAGATCAGGTAAGTTGACGTCTCTCTTTTTTTTATGCATTAATCATTCGCTTTTTCAAGATCTTTTGCCTGGAGTGAGTGCACAACTGATGGTCTTGGCATTAGTGGGCAGCCATATTTTTATGTGACTGCCATGGCTAAAGAGGCAGAGAGAAGATGGACTACCCACCATATGGACACTGCTTCACATGAAGGCTGTGTACCTCAGGGAGCCTCGATTGAAGATTTTAGATGCACATTCATACCGAATGTCTGATGGAAAAAACACCTGCCTTTTCAAATAGGGCATTGGAAGCTGTTTTTGCAGCATCAAAGTAAAAATATCAGCATTCTCACCTGAATCTAAATGATTTAGATTGATAAATGAAAGCAAAAGACATTCTACAGCTTCTTTTATCAATTTTAGTTATTGAACGAACACTTCATCACTGATTAATTTCCTGTTATTTCAAAACAAATTTATAACATTGATAACATATTTTTTTTTAAAGCCATATTAGTCAATTTTGTTACAATTTAACACGCAACAGTTGAGTGTCTGTGGAGCCAGCTTGGAAAGCTTGGGTATGGAGCATGGAGAACCAAAACAATCACTGATGAAGAAAAACAGTTGTTTCAAATTTAACATTTCACTCACTGAAATAGAAATCCAAAATGAAAATCATTTTCTAACTTTTCATTTAAGTTGAATTAATAAATAGGATTTGTAAATTGTATTAATTATTCCACCATTGAATACTGCATTTAAAAGATGTATGTTTATGTCCTATTTCTAAATGGATATTTAAAAACTACAATTTATACATTTGATTATGCAACCTTCCTTATAACATTTCCATTTTCTTTTTCACCTAGCAGTTTCAAATTCTTTATGTAGTTGCATTTTCTTCTTGCTTTACCATCTATAGCAACCTTTTCTGTTCCCTGAGCACTCTGAAAACCAGTTAAACCAATCACAGCTGCTCCTCAGATGTAACCATGGAACTGGTTATTTCCATTAAAAAAATTATTAATACATTTTCCAAATTGGATAAGTAATTGTATGATTTAAATGTTAAATTTTAAATGGCTATGAATCTCCTGGTCCTCCATAGTCCAGGATACACTGAGTGTTCCCAGTGAGATCCGCTCCAACGATACAATGAGCAATCCCTCACACTAAGTATGCTTGCAGTGAAAGTGGAGAGGAAAAACTCCCTTTTAACACGAAGAAACCAGCAGAATCAGGCTCAGTGTGAGCGGCCATCTGCCGAGGACGACTGGGGTTCAAGGAGACAGAAGCAGAAGTAACTGTAAAGTTACTTCTGTCCAGGAAACACACAGCCAGGCAGAAGAGCTCCTAGCCAGCCCCCACCCGAAAGAACGAAGAGAGCAAATCTAGCCAGTCATAATCAGAGAAAAGGGACTACACTGAAAAACAGGCCAATCTCCAACATCTATAAACAAAGGTGTTGATGGCAGCAGCACAGCTGATATTTCTCTCCAGGATGGCTTCACAGCCAAACAGCAACAGAGGAGGCAACGCCACCATGAAACAAAGCAGAGAGGGCATAACGTTAGATATTGAACTAACAGCTTCTGCAGAGTCGAAGAATAGAGATAGAATGAAGCAGAATGATGAAATAGGGGTCCCTATGTCCTCCAGAAGTCTAAGCCTATAGCAGCATAACTACAAAGATAGCTCAGGATAACCTGAGCCACTCTAACTATAAGCTTTATCAAAAAGGAACGTTTTAAGCCTAGTCTTAAAAGTAGACAAGGTTTCTGGTAGTTGGTTCCACAGTAGAGGAGCCTGATAACTAAAAGATCTGCCTCCCATTTTACTTTTAGAAATTCTAGGAGCCACTAGTAAACCTGAGAGTAAAGTGCTCTGTTAGGGACATAAGGAACAATCAGATCTCTGATATCAGATGGAGCTTGGCCATTTAAGGCTTTATATGTGGAAGGAGGATTTTAAATTCTATTCTTGATTTAACAGGAAGCCAATGAAGAGAAGCCAGGATAGGAGAGATATGATCTCTCTTTTAATTTTCACCAGAACAACAACAGGCTTATAGAGATGCATCGATGCTGAACTGTTTTAGACTGAGGTTCCAGTCTGCTTATCAAATTAGGTTTTAAGTATAAAAAAGAGGCAATTTTGAAGATATTTTTAGGAAAAACATAAAGTTTTTCTTTAAATTAGAAAAAATTAAAAGAAATTAAGAAAAGAAATAGAAAAAATAAATCTAACAAAACCGCAAAGTCAAGCAAAACCTTTTTTGATCAGGATGTTTTTTTTCTTTCAAAGTTTAAGTTCTGGATCACATTCGTTACATTTCCAGTTACAAAACATGCTATTTGCTTACAACGATAATGGAATAAAATTCCCTCCAAATTCAGGCCTTCTTTGAAAATTATATATTATAACTCCTGATCAGATTGCTTGTTATTCATTTATTATTTATTTAGGCCACATACCTTGCTGTGACCTTATAAATTCAAATAAATAACTTCAAAGTAACTATTCCCATCATTTACAACATGGTGAACAGCTTGGCTGTGGAGTTTGTGGCAGAGAGACCACAAACAGCATTAGAACTATTAGAAAAAAATCATCTGCCAAACTAAAAACTAATTTTTTTGTGCTGAGACAGATTTCAGTCTGAAACAAGTTGATATTGCACTGATGAGAAAAGGTTTGTACTGTATTGTACTGTATATATCACTTGGCCGTATACAACTGCTTCATGTTGCACTGTATTGCATGTGTGTCTCTCTCAGCCAAACCTGGAAATTAATCATCATGCTGACAAGTCTCTGGACAGTTTCTGTAAGTGGCAAAAGTCCATCCTGTCTCATCACCGCAGTGGGAACAGTATTCCAGAGAATGGAATGGCTCATCACGACAATGCTGTCCTAATCACCCGGTAAGAACTGGCTCACAGCTACGACTACGCAGCACATTTTGCTTAATGCCAGTTTAACGATCCAGCGTTTGATTCATTGTAATTTTCTCATTTTGAGCAAATGGGTTGCAGGTTATTCAGCAGCCGCCAGCAGCTATTCACTACTGCTTCGATCTGGTTCACGTCCACACGGTATATACCTGCGTGTCAAAGAAAAAAGCTCAGTTCTGGAAATAAATTGTGCTTTTACAGACATACTGTACCTGTCACCCTGCAATTTATGTCAAGGCTGTTAGCATAAAACAGCAAAACTCTGACATTACCTGGAAAAGGTTTCATTGTAACCAGAAGTGTTTTGGCCATGTAACCAAGCAACTAGAAAGTGTATCCTCCAACTGGTTTTCTCTGGGGAAAAAGGATTTGATTGACAGGACATAAAGCTAGTATTTATGACTTTTTGTTTCTGTGCAAAACAGTAATTCCATTTTTGTGAATGCTCTCAGGTTTTTTTGTCACTTGATATACTCCAGGCTCTTTTACTTGGAGTTATTGGTTTCAGCTGAACTTGGTATAGCCGTCTGTAAACAGAGTTGCAGGATCCAACGTTTAAAGATGTCTATTTGACTATGTTCTAAGGAGCTTTGAAGCTTTAAAGACCAAAACATGCAACTGACAGTGTCAGATAGTTTGATTCAATGCATGAATAAAGGGGGGAATTTTGATTTCAAAACATTGATTTAGTAAAACGCAGTAGAATGGATCTGTTCCAGCCTGTGAGCAAAGAGCTGGCCCTCACCATCTGGTCGGCAGTTGATGTCTGAAGGAGTGGAACCATCATGGAACCATCTATGGTGGAAATCTAGAAATCCTTTATATTTGCTGTGGTTCATTAAGTGAATTCACATCTGATGTATTAGGATTTTAGAGATGAATTTGGGCGCTCCAACTCTGCTTTCTCCTTTATCATTTCATCTGCAGTATGTCTTATTTAACCAGGAGTAACTTCTTCTAGATAAAAGGGCATTTTTGGGAATTAACAAATTAAACAGTAGCAGAAAACATAGAAGAAGACCAAAAACACAAAAATAACAATTTAATTTTCATGAAAATACTATTTAAATATCAATGTGATGTTAAATAATTGGGCAGCTACGAGAGCCAAGTGTGCTAATGTAATATACATAAAATGTTTACATCTGTTTTGGGTTGGTCTCAAACAGTTAAAGCTGTAGTGGGATTAGAGGAATGTGTTTGTGAAAACACAAAAATGTCACAGATGCTTTCAACCTGCTATCAGACATGATGTACTTTTCAAAATGTGTTTAACTGTTAGCGATGTATGACACAATGAGCTACGTACAAAACCATCACAGGAGTAACAATCATTTTAAATTTTCACCTTTTTTACTGTAAGATTTTTTTTTACTTATCTCAAACAAAGTGACTCTAATCCAACATTCCCACCGGCTAAAAAAACAGTTTAAATCTGGGAACAATCTTATGGTGGTGGAGCGAATAGCCCACTGACCCATGTCAAACAACTCGGCAAGCGACCCGTGTTAAAATCACCTTCAAACGACTTGGCCCCAATCGGCATAGGGTGGGAACATCAGATCCGAGTTGACCCGCTAATTTACATGATACCATTGAGCTCAAACTATGGACATCAACGCACCGCGCCAGTCGTGTCTGATCTAACAAATCAAAACTCACTCTGTTAACATTCAATAATATGGCGCAACAATGGGGTGTGTTTCGGTAAGCAGGTTTAACAAACTCAGATTCAAATCCCCAAACTCTAGCCTAAAGTCAGGAACTCAGAGTTTTCGATTTTACAACGGCTGCTGTGAATTAGTTCAATCAACTCTTAAGTAGATCCAATTAGAGTTGAGCGAACATAACAAGTATGAAAAGCCATTATGAGCCCAGATTCAACAAGTCACCATGACAACATGCAGAATTCATTTAAAAGGCAAAGAAACAGTGCTACAGCTGCAAAGGAGAGGAAAATAGCGTAGGAGAAAATTGCTGCTCAAGTTAATGCGTAGATTTATACGAATTGGTCTATGACAGGCCATTTTAACACTAATTAAAGAAACTCTCCTCTATGTTGTTCCATTTTTAGATCACTAAAATAGGATTCTTTCTTATCAAAATCATATTCGCAGTGGGAACTGTAATAATAAAGGTTCTAAATTCCATTTTTACAGCAGAAAGTTGTAACAGTTAGAAATAAGTTTTATACATCTAGAAATGTTAACACATTTTAAGTGATCATTCAAACTTTATCAGCTTGACTGAATATACATTTATGATATCTAAAATAAATAAAATAATACAAATAATGACCAATAACAACAGAAATATGGAGATCTATATTTAATTTTTCGACATACATAGTATTTATTCTAGATGTGAAGAGTGTCATTTTGTGTGAAATGGTAATTTTAACTTGGGCTTTTTTCCAGATATCAGTATATTCAGTCAAAATTAATGCATATCAAAACTAGCTTACTACTACTAGCTTTCCGTAGTATGTTGAAACTGAAGTCTAAAAACTTTGTTTTATTAGATAGGACCTGTTCATCATCTCATGGAGTTCCTCCTCATGTAGATTCTGTCTTCCATCGCACAGTAAATCTAAGTGGCTATTTGCAGCCACTTTGGATGTTATCATCCTAATAAATGGGCGTTATTGCCAGTTATCAGCCCCCCCCATGGAATTAATTAATCTATTTATGTTTAATCTGAAAATAATTTCAGTAGTTGTTCGTGTGCCTTAAAAAAAAGAATGATCCGCATGATGCTCATGTTAAACAAACCAAACTTCTCTATAAATACTAAATTCTCTGTGAATTAAAGCAGATCTTTCCTTAATAAGGTCCTCGTCTAATGTGTCTAACGGAACTAGGTAATTATTCTTTTTTTTTTTAGTTTACTGAACAAAACCTGCTGCTACCCAGGTTAGCTCTGGGTAGAATGTTACTGTGGCAACAGAAAGCAAACAGTAAACACTCAGTAAACTCTCTTTGTGAAATGGAAACCTCAAGAGTTTTACTTACCGTATTTCAGGTTTAGAATCCATAGAGTTTTCAGAAAACCTGCTTATTGAAAGTGACCCAAGGAGATAGAGATTCAGAGGGACAAAAGAATGAAACAATAAAGCCCACTGACTACAGCCTGGTTCTCTTCCATGTTGCTCTTGATTGTTTACTTTCCTGATTTCTGTCGCACTGCTGACATCATAAAAGCCGACTCAGAGTGATGGTGTCATTGGGTGGATGGAGCCATGCAGCTTGCCAGCGGGAGGTCAGACCCAGCTTTTTTTTTGCCAATGGCAAAAGGGCGCCAAATGGCAATTGTTGGCGGGTCAACCCGTGTTGGGAAATCCCATGTTAACCCGCTAATTTCAGTGTAAAAGAAACTGTACGGTATTCCTGTTTGCCGGTCGGTCCCTGTCATGATATAGTCTTTTTACCCAGTTGGATATCTGAGTTTTAAGTTCCAGAAAAAAGTAAAAAATTTAGATAATTGCATTAAACAAATAGATGTCATGAATGAGACTGTGACCGCACCTCATTCAGGGAAAAAAGAGAAGAGGACAGAGGAGAAGAAGGATAATGAAATTTAATTATCGGTGCCCTTGAATCTAATAGATTAAAAGCTTCAGCAATGATTAGATGCTTTGTTTGAAATGTATGATGTGTCGCTACAGCAGAGCGGCTTTGAGTGTTCTTCTGCTTTATTGGATTACCTCCATCTGAAGTTACCGGCAGGGACAAGGCCTAAACAAAGCCTTTCTACTTTTCCAACTTTGTGTTTTAGCGCTGTAGTTAAGTTTGTTAAGAGCTCAAGCAGTGGACTGAGGAGGCAACCAGGTGTTTTTCTAGAAGAAAACCTGTCATGACTTCACCATTGTTATAGTAAAGGCTGAGATTATATCTGGCCAGACTGTGTGATTAAACAGAGAAAGAATGGAATGGCCGACAGCCAGTGGAGGAAAAGCTGTGTAGATGGTAAAGAAAAGGGCTCATTTAATGCTAATATTTGTGTCTCTATCCTCTTTCTTTAGGTACGATATCTGCACCTACAAGAACAAACCCTGTGGGACTTTAGGTGAGTGGATCATACGTTTCTCACCAACGCTGTTGATCACCTAATCTGGTTAGAAAGGTGTTAATTTTTCCCGTTCAGCCTTCAGTGTGTCCTCAGACAAACCTTATTTAGCAACTTTCTGTCTCCTTTAGAGGAACTCCAGACGGCTCCTGTGAGACATAATGAGAAGGATGTTTTCATTTTGCGTTATTACAGCTCCTTGACGGCCCCCCGCTTGTTGGCTGAGGCTTGGAGCCCCGAACCTGTGGTCAACGTCTCTCAGGGCTCGGGTTTATAAAACCATTCTGTCTGTCCTTCGGCTCTAACCTTTGTTTGTTTAAGGTGTTTACAATTCCACTGGCGGCTTTAGCGTAGGGTGGGGAGGGGTGAAAGAAAGGGGTGATATACTGTGAGACAAGGAGGTGGAGCCGAAATGAACATAGAAGGGGAAAAGGACAATTACAGGGAGCGTTAGAGAATGAAGGAGGGAGATAAAGGGGATGATAACCAAGTTTTGGCTGATATGGGGGTGTTGGGTGAGAAAGGACACCAAGCAGTGGTAGAAACTGCTACTTTAGATCCATCTCAAACCTGCTCCCCGTCCATCTCTTCCCGTCTTATCATGGTGAAGGCCCTGCAGGCTCCGCAGTATATCTCTGAGGTATTATTGTGACCTTAGGGGGGGCTTTGACAGATTGACCGCATTCGTCACATTCCCCCGGTCGCTTTATTTGCCCAAGCATCTGCTTGGCTTCCTCACCGTCCCCCTCCCCTCTTCCCCACCTCCCTCTCCTCGTCGAGGATCATGCTCAGAGGTCAGATTGGGGCAGACCTTTAGGGTCGCTGAGTAATCACGGGGCTGGAGATAATGCACAGTACGCCCTGGTGTTAAGAAAACAGCTTTCAATGCAGTGTGGGTTTCCACTCAACACCCCCACCCCTCCCCAACCCCACAACTAATCGCAGAGTAGCCACACTCCTTCCTTTCCCTCCCTCACCTCCTCCTTTCTTCACCTCCAGGCTCCCTCTTTTCCTGCAGTAATGGTTCCAGTAGCCTCCTGACTTGCGTGTCTATTCTTGTTTTAGCCTCTTAGGGCAGAGGATACTAAAGCCAAGCCACCTTAAGTAGGGAGCTCTGTTTGGCACTACTCTAAAATGTGAAAGAGAGTTTATAACTGATCCAAGATGTCAGCCATGTTGTCCTCACAACTAAACTAACTTTAGTATCATTTACATCCTTTATTATTCACCTTTTTGTGTTATTCAATCTAAGATCAGGGAATCTTATTGTATTCCATTAGTTTTCTATGTTAAAGACCAACGGAAAGTAGGATCAAATTGTAAAGGTTTAATGGATGAACATCTTAGTTTTAAGGCTTACCCCGATTTTAGGGTAAGTCTCTGTAGGTTTTGCTCATCGGCATCCAGATTGGATGGAGAAAATTCAGCCAAATCAAATTTTTAAACAAATTCTACATTCTATGTAGGTCTGGACCTTGACTATTCCCTTCATAGACATGACTATCATTTGATCAAATCCATGGAAACTCCTGAAGTTTTGGTTTGTTCTCCTTTTGGAAAGTTAACCTGTGCTACAGTGTCACGCCTTCTCCCATCACCTGCAGGTTTCTTTCTACAATTACCCAGTGTTTAGCTTCTTAAAACATGTTTGCTGTGTCCATTGCAAGGAGGGGACAAACCAAACCTTATTATGGTCTTTAACCGACCTAAGCTTCCTTCTTGTCTATTCGTTCATAAAGAATATGTTTTTGAAGAAGACAGCAGATGGTGTGGAGAGATTTGGCTTTTTGAGCTGCAGACCTCTGCAGTTCCTCCAAGGTCACCATGCTCCTCATGAAAAAAGCTGTTTTATGAGATGTTTAAGATGCTTTAGATGCTTTGGTCCCTGGGCTTAATGTTGTCTTTTCTTCAATAATGTTGTCTATTTAAGATTTGAGGCATTCAAAGAACACATGGGTTTATACTAGTTAGACTACCTAAAGATGGAGTTTAATCAGCAACTGCAAAGGCAACTGATTGTTGGGAAATTTGTGTTTCAATTTGTTAAAGGGAATAAAGGCAACAGGACTTACGTTTAAAGAAAAGGTGTCTTTCTTTGAATCCAGTCGGTGTGGGTTGTTCCAGTAATTGACTTGCTCGTTGGAGGGCGGACAGGGTTTATCCAGGTTGAGGTGTTTCCTTGAAGAACGGAGGAGCTGACTGCAACTTAGATTTCCGATGGTAATTGAATGTTTTTTTGTGGAGATGAATCCCCTGCTCAGTGTGAAGCCCGAACAATCCTTGGGGAAAAGTTTATCCAAACCACCTGTTTGAATCCTCAGCTCAGTTTGACACTCAGACAATCCTTCCAGGGGGAGAAGGTCCAAAAAAATCCAGTTTGCAGGATGACTTCCTGCCGAGAGGCAAAGACTCAGGTGACAAAAAATCAGTTTGACTCAGAAAAACTCCGCTTGGCTAGAGTACCCAAAACTGGCAAACACTCTGGCGTTGAGGTAGTGGCAGTCAGCAGCTTAAGAGTCCTCCAGTAATGAGGCAACCATCCGCAGGTGTTTGAGAAGGCCAACGAGAACCAGGCGGCACCTGGTGGTGGAGGGAAAAACAAACAAAAACACAACCCACACAAACTGGATTCCTAACAATAAATATGTTGTGAAATAACTCAAGCGAAGGAAAAAACTATTTGATTAAAAGGACACTTAGATATTAATTAAATGATCAACATTTATTTGCCCACTATAAAATTTTTCTGCCCTTTTTGGGCCAATTCTCCAGTCGTGCGAGAATTGTTTCGATTGGCCAAACAGGAATCTTAAGGTCGGGAGAAAATCAAACATGTTTGCAATCCAGTTGGCCCTCGTAAGATTTTTGTGGGCCAACCCTGCTATTGAAGCAGAGCTATGAGCCGATTTACCAGAACCTCGAGCCCAGTGCATGTGCAAACAAGGGAGTTGTTCTTCTTCCAGATTGACGAGTCCAACCAACGCCATCTCTCGGCGCTGAGTCTGACATGTGATTTTTGGACGTACAGTGTTAGCAGTTAGAACATACCGTACATGGTGAGCGGTGAACCTTTAAACCCCACGGTTTTGTCGTACAGTTTGAGCTGTAGCTGCATGCAACAATTGAAAAGATCGTACACTGTATCCCTAGTTTAAATGTAATAAAGCAAACATAAAGTTGTTGGCAAATATCTGATAATGTAAAATACACAAAATAATATATTCTTACAAAAAAACCAACAAAAAAATGCTTTACTGATTTTTTTTTAATGTAAATTTCTTTTTAAATCCCTTTGACTTGATCATCATTTTGAAAATTGAAAAAATATTGAAGATAGCAATGATAAATACATTTTTCATGACAATGTATGCAGCCCACCTGGCATATGTCCTGTATGCCCAATGCCCAGTCCAGCCCTGTCCAAAAATGCATGGCTCAATTTTTTCGATTGTTTTTTGTTTTTAGTTCTTAAAAAATTTGAAAAAAGGATTAAAATTTGGTGTCCACCTCCTGGTTTTGTACTAGAAAAGACCTATTTAATAAAATCTCCTTCAAAACATTCACATTTAAGGGTGTACCACCAATTGGGAGCTATAAATAAAGCAACAACAGAAAACAACAAAAACCAACAAACTATTTTGAAAAATTAGTCCATGTAGCTGACCCTCAATCAATTAAATTAAATATTCCTCTGTTTCCTGTCTTGCAGAAGTATGGCTCCTTAATCTTTAGCTTGCAAATTCTTGACAACAAATAAGTTTCCAGCTTTTTAAATCACGCCAGAGAAGGTGCTATGGTCACAGCACAGAGCTACTTAATAAAAAAATACACACATACGGTAAAGCTGTGTTCATGCTTTAGTCAAGGTGAGCTTTTACACAAGAACTCACACACTCTCCAACAGACACACACACCTGCTTTGTGGTGTTATATGATCCCCTTTCAGGCAGGTAGATGTAATCTGTGAAGAATTGCCAGCGGGTCTCTTTATCTGACCTGCCAGGCTTTAGGAGAATAAAGGACCTGCGACACCTGGATTTTCACCTTAACCCCCCGATGGGGGAAAAAAGAGATGTGTCAGACAGGTTTCTGCTGGGGCGCTCCATTAGTGAGGGGTTTTAGCATTCCCTAACTAGGCTGGCAGTGTAGGCACTAACCTGTATGTCCAAATCCATGCCCTGTCCTTCGGAAAATTCAGTCACTCATATGATTTCAAGCTAAAATCGCCATCTTGAATCTATGTTTTTGTTTGATCTAAAATCTCAGTTTTTTTGTTGTTGTTGTTGTTTTTGTTTTTATATACAACGCTCTTCCTTGACCCTGTGTTTGTATGTCTGTGTGGCATGTGTGGATCTGCAGGCTTGGCCTCAGTAGCTGGAATGTGTGAGCCGGAGAGAAGCTGCAGCATCAACGAAGACATCGGCCTTGGCTCAGCGTTCACCATTGCACACGAGATAGGCCACAAGTGAGTGTTAATGCTTTTTTACTTCAAGGTGCTAAAAAGAAGTTTTAGTTTTGATGTTATTCCTTGATGCAAAATGCACACAGATCAGATGAAATGAAGATTGTGACTTATAGCATCAGATCGGTTGACTCTAAAGTGAAAAAAATCAAAGAAATAATAGTATTTATTTAAACGATCTTTCTAAATTTGGACATTTTATCTTAATCATTCTTAATCATTCAGAGAAACAAAATATGATAATATACATCAGATGTTTTTTGTCAGTCTTTTTGTTGTGAGAAAGCCTCTGTTCCAAATTTTTGGTATCATAAAATTCAGCTTATCTGCAGTCACCTCCTTTTGTCTTAAAAACATTGTATGTAAACCAGAGTGACTTCTTGGAATACCAATAAAAAAAACTGAAATAGCATGACTATGTAACTTTTACAGATCATAATAGGTGTTTGCTGGGTTTAAGTATCTCCAAACATGTTACTGTGCATTCTAACCAATCGTCTTTACCTTCATCTCATCTCTCCACTGGCCAAATCCTGAAGTCTTTGCTCTCCTTTAGCTATAACTTTTACTTCACTGCCTAGCATGTTGCATGTTCTTCTGAGTCAATTCTTCCTACTGTCACCTCTTCCATTATTCTCCAGCCTTATTAGTTCTTGTCATGGTCCTGTCATGAACTTTTAAATTTTTCATACAAACTAAGGTCTGTAGAGCCTGACTTTTTTCCCTTGCCGTTAATTTGCGTCCTCAAAACCTCAACCAAACCCTGACATTACAAATTACACCTTCTGTCGTGTAACGTAACTCCTACATTATTTCATCATCTGTAACATCAAGGAAAAGTGCTCGGACGTTTCAGAAGCTTAAATAGATAATTCAGGAGTTTTATAGTAATGTAGTTTGTATTTCAGCTGGACTAAATGTCACCTTCTTAGTTCATTAAATTCAGATGAGCTGGTTAAAGCTAACAGCTGGTCAGACAGTAACCCAGGCCTAAGCCAACCTTTTCATCATAGCGGTTTATGCTAATGCAGTTTGATGCTCCTTCAAACTGACATCATGTTAGCATTCAAAAGAACATATAAGGCATTTCTGTGTAGACATCTGACAGCAGATTCAAAGCTAATAGATTAGTAAGTTAAAAATAATGCAAGTAATCTTTTTCCTCTCTATAAATAATCTTGTGATGATGGATTGAAGACTAATGAAGTCTCTACTTTGCATATTGTCCACCTCAGTCCTGCCAGCTCCTTCCTGAGTCTCTTAGCTGTGCTGAAATCCTGAACCATCCCTTTAAAAGTTTCCATGACCAGATCTCTCACAAGGCAGCTCATGAACAGGTGTTCTTCATCAGGTTGCTACACACACCTTGACGTTGGCAGTCGTGTTTCTTAAAGAAATATCCCAAGAGGATCTTGATGGATTGCCATGAAATTTAGTACAGGCAATCAAGACTATTTTAGCCTTCCCTGATTTTTCATCTTACCCAAACAATCAGGAGCAAATGTCAGTTTGTCCAGTGCTTTGGTCCACACTATGTGGCTAAACATGTAATCTCTCCATATGAACTGTAAAACTCCCTGCATAATTATAATAAAGCAATTTATATACATGAAACAAGTGGAGCGGTATGGCAATTGCGATACCGCTACACTTGTGAAAGTAAAATCTGTTGGGCTCCTTTTGGCATCAAGACAATTATTCTTATTGCCACCTTGCCAGACAGGACACTGTAAAAAAAAAAAAAAAAAAAAAAATAAAAAAAATAAATAAATAAACATGTAATCTCTACAGATTGTTTGTATTATTAGCCAATTCCTTTTTAAATGGAAAGTAATTATCTAAAGCAGTTTTTGAAAACTTTGGTCATGATTTCATAATGACCATAACGATTCTTTATTGAACTTCTTTTATGCAAAATAGCTCAGCCTCTTTTAAAAAGTGATGAATAAGTAAAAACTTTGAATAAAATTTGAAAACTTAAGAACATGTTTTACGGTGGATACTTTGAATAGGCCATTGCAATATGGAAATTAATTTTAAAATAAACCATCTACTGCATCTCTAGTTGCATGTTTTCCACCTGGAGTCTCTAACAGGTTTTTTCTTTTAGTTTGTCTTCATCCATCTTTTAATCCACTCTGACCAACTTCCCTTTCACTGTTGAGGAAACACATCCTCACAGCATGATTCTGCCACTGCTGTTCTAAAAATGCAAGTATTGTAGCAGATTACATAAATAGTCCCCTTCCAAATCTAAGCCGGTACACAAAAGCATCCAAAATTTTATTTAGCTTATTTAATGGGTGTGAGAGTTTAATTGCTGCTTAAAACAAGGAGAATTTTTCAAAGAAAGAATAAAATAAAAATCTCTACGAGATATGTTTTACCACATTACAGAGGTGTTCCTGCCAGTCAAATTTTCCTTTATTTTGTCACCTCTTTTTGAAACGGTTATCATATTTAATTGAGATTTTATGTAATAAACTAAAAGAGAGTTGTATAAAATTGTAAAGTGGAATGAAATAATTTTCGTCCAGAGTTGTCCTTTATTTATCTGCTATCATTGTAGTATACAGGAATATACGAAGATAGGACTCTGCCAAATTACCGTGTTATAAATAATCATACAAGCATAAAAGCTTCAATGAAAATACACTGCTCTCTATTTGGATTTTGAAGGTTTAATGCATGCGGATTCCATACCTATATACTACAGCATGAGGCCATGCTCCTCCTCTGTTTTTTAAGCACTTGTAGCTTTTGTCCTACTAGTTGGAACCAACCTGAAAAAGTAAACGGACTGTGATTGGATACTTTTCAGGAAATCCTGCCTCTTGAGAAAGCAGTGTTTTCATACTAGTTGCAGCTAGTAACTTATAAAAAGTATCTTAAGCCCCTGTCACACCTTGACAATTTAACCAGCATATGCCTGATGTCTGAAAAATCTGGCAAAAACACTGGCATAGATGGCAAGTTAAGGGTACTTTTGTATAAGTTAGGAGCACTCGGAAGTACGCTGAAGCACGCAGGCACACATCAAACATACGGCAAGTATGTCAGCGTATGCTCATACGTGGGACAGGTAAGTTATTTGATTATTGACATATGTTAAAGTAAAAGTTCGGTCAGATTCAGAATTCAAACTTCGGAAAGTACTTTAAATATGAAATTATTACATACTTTTCAATAAATGATGAGTGCTTTTAATAAAGAGTAATTTCCTTTGAATGTCCTTTACCGGAGGCATCCATCTTTGTCAAAGAACACTACTGCCACCTACAGGTTTGTGATGTCACAGTGTGGTATCGGCTGTTGAGCAAGTCCCAATTCTGTATCTGGTATTTGTCATAACGCGCCATTATCCAAGTCATCTTGAAAAAGTTCTTCTTCAAAATGTTGGCTACATATTACGTGTTTTTACTCTGGCCAGAAGTTCAGGGACAAATCTTCCCTCTTCTAGTTAGCAATACAAATACAAAAAATGTCCTTGGAGGATCATGAATTGAAAAGGTGACATTTTTTTTTTTTTTTCTCTTTTACCCAATGTATTAAAACATGATTTGACATTTAAATATGATTTCTGTACTACGTTAAGCATTTCTCTCATTTCCAGTATTAGGTTTACAAAATTGTCAGTTGAGGATGCATATGAAGTATGTATTTTACTCTTAAACTGAACAGCTGTTAGCGTTTAAAATGGTTTGCTAACTTTATCAGCATGCCTCAGCTAGGAAGAAAACAGTGGTGTTACATGAGACAGAATTTTGAAAAGTAGTCAACCACAGGCAGTTTGTTTTCTCATTTACTTCCTCCCTCTAAGTGACAAAAGTTGACATGAGTGTACGCACGGATAGGAGAGAATCAGCTCCTAAAAAGAAAGACACGGGCACAGAGAAGTAGCATGCACTCATGCTTGTGATATATTGGGGGTCTCATGGTATTGAATCTGCACGCATAATGTGTATGGGGAGTATTTGACATATTTATTACGCATGTACACAGAATTCTAACTACCGTACATAAAAAGCAGTCCCACAGCATGATGCTGATACTCTTTTGTTTAACCCTATAATGCCAAATGTATCATATTTGATACATACGGTTTCTGAAATGTTTTGCATCTGACACCTTTTGCATAATTTAATGGTAAAAACTTTGCTCAAAATCCTATTGTACACAATCAGATATACCTGTTAACAGAGGGCAGAAGACTACACAAAAAATAATCTTGACTTATCGCATAGTAATAAATTATTAATATCAAAAATGTGTTTTACATAGTTTGTTAAAAGGGCAAATAAGGAGTTCAAAACAAAAAAAAAAGTAATTTTCTGTTTTGTTTTATTCTTGGATCAGGCTTTAAAGGGTTAACTGAAGGCATGGTGTTACTTTTTATGTGCACTATCTGATGTTTTTCCCTTTAAATAATGTTTTGTTTAGGGCATAAATGTTTCTTTTTTGTGTGACCAGAGCACCTTCTTCCATGCAAACTTAAGAAGAAATCTCCTTTTGGCTTTGTGTTGTTATGGGTGGGAGTCAAATTTCAAGGCTCAGTTGGGCAGGTGAAACTCAGCTCAGGTCATCCTAAAGCCTTTGATCCCTTTCACAACTTCGACTTTCTCTTAAACAAACATTACCTCCTATTCTGGTTCACCTCCCCTACAGACATCCTGAATCATATCTTCCACATATTTGCAGTTTTCCCCTTTTTGAATATAAAGCCAAATAATGATGATGTATTAGTCTGCGTATCCCCCTCTCTCCAGAAAGATGGTGATTTCCTTTATTATGTCTCGTGTCTGCTTCTGTTGCGCAGCAGTTGTAAAAATAGTCTCTGCTTCTGGAGGATGTATAAAAAAAACACACGCTGCAGCGGGGTTTCAACCAGCCTGATTTATTTCCAGAGGAGGGTAAAATGTCATAAACGCCAGGCTTAGATAAACAGTTTCAGACTGTGCGATGTGGTTGGGTTTGTTATATACATTAGACCTGATTTGTGCTCCTGGAACGTAAGGAAAAGTATGATTTGACATCCTGCTCGAACATAAAATTGTCTTTCCTGACAGATAGGCCTTTTTTTATTATTTGATCTTTTTTTTTTATCTTCAGGAGAAATTCCAAGCAACATCCATATTTTTGTGTCTGAACACAAGAGAGGCTGTTTAGGGTTCCTCTGTTCTCTGATCCAAAGGATTCCTGTGTCCTTGCTGCAGTCAGCAGTGGTTTTCCCTCATGACTTGCTCAGACCTGCAGCTTCTGATTGACAGGCAGGCATCCGAGTGCTGATTAGAACTTTTTCGTTACTGCTGAGCGCCCAGACAGGGTTTGACCTCTGACCCCGCCACACAGCTGTTTCAGAGCCACATAGCTCTCTTTTTACAGCCAGATCCACTGAGGAGGATATCCCTCTGTGAGCGACCTGGAGCTACTCTCAGAGCTGTTAAAGCTGAGGGCAGAAAATAGAAAGGCACTTCCACACTGGCGGATCATCATTCCCAGCTGCATTAATGCATGTTTCTGTATGTGTGTTTCAGTTTTGGGATGAACCACGATGGGATCGGCAACACCTGCGGCACCAAAGGCCATGAAACAGCCAAGCTGATGGCCGCTCACATAACAGCCAACACCAACCCTTTCTCCTGGTCTGCCTGCAGCAAAGACTACATCACCAGCTTTCTCGAGTAAGTGGATGATGGTTGCTCCCTGTGGGACTGTCTGAGTGGGTTTGTGTTTGCCTGCATGTGTGCGTTTGAGCTGAAAAGGAAAAGGTGCTTGAATGTTTTCCTGCCTGCTCCCAGATGTCTCGGTTTACAACCTGCTGCCTTTGGCTGCCTCTGGTGTTCAACATTGGGTCTTCCCCACTCACAACCAATCTGAAACAGACTGCTGCCAGACCTCCTTCTGGCGCTGCCTAACTTCTAAGTGCTTTCCAGTCTGCACCATTATATCACAAGACTGATAATTTAGGAGCCTTTAATTCAATTCAATTTAAGTTCATTTCTATAGCGCCAATTCACAACACATGTCATCACAAGGCTCTTTACAATTCAACCAGATCATAGTCAAATTGATTCCAAGTTTTCCATCTAAGGTAAACCAGTTGATTACAATGACTCATTGACTCAAAGGCAATCCCTCACACTGAGCATGCTTCAAGGTTTTACTAGTGAAGTATCACTCAACGGGTTTCTCTTTAGGAACTACGCTCACTGGCAACTTTATTAGGTACACATTATTAGTGAATATCCTAACTCTTCATGGCCTATATCCAACAACATGTCAAAAACATTTGAAAGATTTAGTTTTTAAGGTTTGGAAAGATCGCTAGATGTTCTCCAGCACTACAATCTATGTTTACTTCCGTAAACATAGAGCACGCTTGCTTGTAACGTAATTGCATACTCTACTGCACATGCAGGACACTTAGGTTGTATGAATGGAGTTCAAGCAGGTGATCAGATAGCCTACAAGTCGCATATATTTGGAAATGTGAACAGCAACTCAAAATTGAGCATCAAGGCCTGCAGTGTGAGCATAGCCTTAGAAGCAAGTGTGGGATTTTGCTGAATAGCTCTTCCCACCATGAGACCTTGCAGCTTTAAGAAAGAGAACGCCTCACACATAATTAACACAGCCAGATCTCGACATTACAGCCTACCCTTAATTAACCACAAGGTAACGTGACTCAAGTAAAATGGCGAAACCACTCAAAGCACTGGATTAGGATTTTATCCCGAAACGAAGAATGAAGGAACCAATGAGTGGTCTTTGTTGCCATAACCAACACTACTGTGAATCACTACCTCAACAATGGGAGACTATTATCCATTGGACCAAATGAGGTAGATGGTCATCAATGTCCCAGGTGGGAGGAAGGAACTCAGATGGTTGGACAGGTTTAATGTGAATGTAAAGTGGAATGAATGCGAAGGTTCTGTGGAAGGCAAGATGGTGGTGATTTTCTGTGGAGAATCATAGTAAACCTAGAATCAGGTTCAGCCTTAAGAACTTCCTTTACAACATTGTCAATTTTTTAAGTCCGAATTAAAATGGTGCAGCATGGAAGGAGAATGGAGTCTCTCCTCAGATTGTTGTGTGCTGGGTTTGATGTTCTTTGTTCCTGGATGGGAAGTTATGTTGATGATAAAACAAACTAGAATAGTGACCTATGGTGCTTTTGGGGGTTGAGGCATTTAGAAATCCGGACATAAGATAGTTTTTGTGATCTGTCCAGAGCAGAATCTCAATGGCGCAATCCTACTAAGGCTGGTAGAGATTACAAGTCATCCAGGTCATAGTCATTCAAAAAAAGTTTAAAAAAAACAATCCCCTGAGCTTTGTTTCCAAGTTTGAAGTTATTTCGCTTCCCAACCAAGAAGCTTTTTCAATAATGTCAGAAATAGTGTTGAGTTTGAGGCTTTACAGAGTGGACAAAAAACAAAAACTTGTTTTGGCTTAGAAGACATGCAAATTGAAAGGGACAAACGGATCCACCCCCTTTGGAATTGGGGTCGTTTGGGTTCTTTGTTAGCCAGTAATACCCGATACCTGTCTATGTCTCTAAAGGGGGGGGGGGGGTAAATGGAAATATTAGCCTGGCTGGGTAAGGAGTTCCTTTACCCTGTATGGGTGTGGGGGTTGCAATGATAGCGGGAAGGAATCAACATAATCGCTGAATTGTTTGTTTTTTGAAAGCTGAAACCACCCCCCCTGTTTAAGGTTGTTTTTGCTTTCTTAACATAGATGGCTTCCTTCACACCCCTCTCAAACCACCTGTCTTCTTTGTCCAAAATGTGAACATTCTGGTCCTTGAAAGAATGTCCTATGTCGTTAAGGTATAGATGTACTGCCGAGTTTTGGCTATGCATCTGTGGAGAGGTTGTTTGGTTTGGGATTTTGTATTTGGAGAAAATTCTCTTGAGTTTTGAGAGACTCCAGCAACATATGGGATGGCATTATTTTTGTGTTTAATCTTCTCATTGTTATGTTCTGCTGTATGTCCAAAAAAAGGACAATCTTTTGAGGACCACAATGTTCACATTTTGGACAAGAAGATAGGTGGTTTGTGAGGGGTGTGAAGGTAGCCATCTATGTCAAGAAAGAAAAAACAGGCACAAGGATGGAGTTAGTCATCAGATTCTGTGTGTTGGGACAGGACAGTTCCAACAAAACAAACTGAAGTACGAACCTCCAAAGTGAATTATTTCTTGAGGTCAAGCTAAACTAAGAATGGAGCTTATGAGATGGACTTCTTAAGTTCTTGAAAGGCAGAGTCAGCCTTAGGGGACCAGTTAGAGTTGGACTCAGAGGATGGGAGCTACTGTTTAGCAGCAATATAATGGGAAATATCAGATTGGTGAACTTAGTTTTTACTTCCCAGGAAAGAAAGTAGCAAAACCTGAGACTTTAAGAGGTTGTAACCCAGATAGTTCTGTCCATCGGTTTTTGACTTCAAGCTATTGCCATCTTTGTTTATGCAGCAAGAGAAATATCCAAAACACACAAAAAAGTCTACCTCTGAATGGTATAAAAAAAGTTTGGGAGTGACCTCGTTAAAGTTAAGTTTTAAATCCAATTAAAATAAATAAAAATACATCTGTATGAGGCAATTTTCTTTCTTTTTTTTGCACTTTGTATCTGTTATTTCCTATTGTACCAGTGTTGTGAATCCAAAAGAAAAGCATTATTCTGCATTGCTGACACTCCTGTGTGTTTCTGTGGCAGCTATGAGTTGTCGGAGACTATCTGTGCCTCTGTGTGTGTCTTCATGGTGCTTTAGTGAGGTGCTCCAAGAAAATGGATAAAGGTTGCTACGGTTGTCAGATGATGTTTCTTACTGAAAGCTGTTAGAGGAAGGGCGCCGAACAGGGCTTGTGACAGAAATAGTAGTATTAGATGCCAGCCTGCAGCAAATACACAAAGAGCTGCTTCTCCACGTTTTCATCAGGTTCTGTTATATTCAGGCCAGAGTGCATGAGGATTATTATTAAAAATATGAAAAAGTTTTGATAAATTCGCCCTAGATGAGCTTGTTTTAGGTGTGGTTTTTATTGCCTTTTTTTCCAGTGTCTTTCAAAAGGGTTCACTGTGTCACTCTAAGTATGCTCCCTTCTTTTCTCGGTCAGTTTTGGATGTTGCACAGGCTTCTCTCTGCCGAGTAAACAACTCTGGCGAGCTATTGGCCTAGATTCACTGTTTTGCTTGAACCTTAAGCGGTGCTTTGTTTGTTTGTTTTTGTTTAGTTTTTCTCTTAGGGATGGCCTACGAATATGCTCCCTTACATTACTGGAATCCTGTACATTCTCGCAGTTTCCTTGCCAGTTTGTTATAAATCCAAATTCCCCGAAAGTCTTTTCAGTTTAGTGTTCTGTCCATACGAGGCTTTTTCTTTTTTCATAATTTTTGTTCCAAATGAATCATGCTGCTGAGCCAACACTGCCAGTATACTCTCTGCGGTGACGTCAATGAGCGCGGTGCAAGTTCATGGATAGCTGATAATCGTGCTTATTAGAGGATATTTCTGCTTAATGAATTTGGCTGTATACAGCAGACAGGAAGTCTGGGCGACTATGTCAGATATTAGCTGCCATGTTGAAGGTCTGATTATTTTGTCTCTCTCCAAGACAATAAATAGAGCGGTTGGAGAGTCCAGGGAGTCTGGGGGCCCAGAGAACGTTTTGTCTGCTTCCCTCATTGATGAAAGATTCTCATAAGAGAGAAGATGATGAGTTGCTCTCGGTTCTGTGGTTTCTGCTTTTTTTTTCTTCTTCTTTTAAATGAAGCAAGTTTTGGCTGCTTACATGTTTAATTTCTTTTTAAGGGATAAACACAATACAATTCACGGTGTTTAGTGGCTTTCAAAAGTAAAATAATCTTATACTACATTACATCATATTGTCAAATGATTCTGCACTAAAAAACAATCTGAAGGCGCAGGGTTAATCAGGGGATTTTAATGAGGAGAAAAATATTCACACATATACAAAAAACTGATTAGGGGTGTAAATGGGCATGGAAACAAGAGGGAAACTTAAGGACCAAGTGCCAAATAAAGAAAAACTACAGGTTTTAAAGCAACAAAGAACAGGTGCAGACAATTGGCTAAACGACACACAGGGTGAAATAAGTAAGTAACTTGGAAAAACAGGGAAGAAACCAACCTAACATAAAGAACTCATGAGACAAAGGCACAAAATTATATTTAAAGTCATAGGGAAGTCATATTTAACTGTTAAATCATTCTGGCTTAAACATGTATATAAATGTACTCTTTAACAGACCATATTGTCCAAAAATTTAGATAATTTCTATTTAAAAAAAAATAATCCTGTGTGTGTTTTTTCCCCCCGTTATTTTATGCAGGCCCGTTAATTATACGTCAGCCTGAAAACCTAAATCCAGCCAATCATATATAAATGGTCATCTGTCAATCAATTTTTTCGGTCATAGCATCTTGATTCATGTCGCAGCTAATATACGCAACAGTTGAAATAAGAATCATTCATTTCCTTTGCCATTGAGTTCCGTCCCAGTGTTCACAGGGATGGACGTCTGTGTCTTCAGCAGGCGTAGAGCTAACAGAACTGGCAGCGTTGTGAGGCAAGGGCTCAAACATGTACGGCTGTAAGCCTTCTACACCAAACCAAGCTTCTGCCACCCTGGCGTCCTCTTCTACAACATCTTCATCCCTGCTTTCCTCCTCTAAATATAAAATGTATGGTGAAGGAGACTCATCCATGACCTCCAACACAAAACTCCCCTCCTCTTGCATGTTTCCTCTGTCCATAGCGTTCCTTAACAGTGTTGTTTCTAAGTTACCAATGTAGTGCTACTTGGTCCCAATGTGATTTCCCATTGGGAACATACTAGCACTAAGTTGCTAACTGGTTAGCGAGATGCTTCGGAGAAATAAGTCACATTCAAACTTGGTTGCGCCACAATAACCCCGCCCCCTTGATAAACAACCAATCACATTCAGTTTGTTAACTCGTGTAAGGCCATGCACCATGGAACAGCAGTTTCCCTATGACCTTAAAGAAACTATAAATGTATCTTATTTTAGGATCTTATACATCAAAACAAAAAATGGTACAAAACTCTAAGCAGAGTGAAAATGTAAAGTCTTGCCATTTACCAAATCAATGTAAGGCTACAGTCACTATGGAGGCAAATCCCATCTGTTTGCCCGAAGTCTGCACAGTCTGAAAGGACCAATCCAAATGTTTTAACCCTCCAAAGAAAGCATTTTGAGCCATTTAAAGATACGGTACTAAATTTAATACATATATTTTTTTAAAGCATCTGCAGTCTAAAAAATGATGCAACATTTTCTCAGATATGTACGTCATTGCCAGGCCTCCCACTACACATCTACAGAGACAGCAGAAGCATCAACGACTGCTTGGCAAATAGCTGTTGTTTATAGTTGTGTTCTTGTCTGACTTTCCTTTTTTGTTAGTTGAAATGATCTTTATAAACAATTTGGTGTCCGATCCCACAGAAAATCATATCTTGTAATTACATCTTATTGAAATGTTAATGGGCTTGATAGACAGCATACTATCCTCTGCAACTTTGCTTGTGACCTCCTTGTCTGTCTTGGTCAGAGCAATTTGGTGAACATGTCATGTATCAGACAGGAAAAGGGGCACACATCCACACTGGGGAAATATAAAGTAAAACCTTGAATCACAGCCAGGTTCGCCCCGTTTGGAAACACATGGAGTGTGCATAGCAAGTGGAGACATACACATTCAATAAACATTGTTAATAAGCAGTGCATTTTACCAATAGTCGGAGCTAAGTAGGACAAATCAGATGAAGTGAAATAGCGATCCTCTCTAAGCTTTAAAAATACTAATCTGAAACTAGAATTCTCATGGACTATGTGCACAGTATCTGTTTTACTTCATTAAACTTCACAAAAAGCGCTCTTAAAATCACCTTTCATTGGCCTAGCCCATTTTATTTGACTTTTACTAGTTTGTGCAAGAAAAATTTGGATATTTTCAGGTTATTTGTGACATCAGCAATTGAACAATACTGTACAGTCCTGCTCGAATCGGGACATCTGGTCACACTGTGTGCAGTGGGAGCCTCCAAGCGGCCAGTGTGAAAGAAAAACATTGCAGAGCTGGACACAAGTGGTGTGACCTGGCTTTAGATGTCTTAGGCATATCCTCCTCCCTCAATAGTGTTTTTCTGTTCCCATCCAGATTTGTGTAATTTAGGAATAATAAGCCTTATTTCCAGTAGCTCTACTTAGACTGACTCCACTGCAAACAGCCCACTTTGGTTGCATTTCCATTTCCTTTTCTGTGTTGGACTTTCCTTTTTAGTACCGTAATGTAACACAAACAGACTGCTGTAAATTGACTGGTCATGACATAAGGAGAAATGAGAAGGTCTTTGCTGTGGGATTGAAGGAAAAAGTTCCAAATGACCACATTGAAGACATTGGGTCAAACTAGGTTAGAATTTTTAAATTTGCTAACCATGAACCATGCAGGAAGGGAAAAAGAAAAACTAAAGAAAATAGATTTTTTGACCTTCTATTTCCATCTGACTGTATTTAATTAGCTAAGTTAGCTCCTCAGTAGACTGGCCAGCCGGATTGTCTCACGCTGTACAGTGTATCACTCTGGAAACTGACATGGATTACTACAAACTTATGCCTGTATTACGGTACATTTACACCAAATGTGCTTGTAGCATCAAAAAGGCATCCATTGGTAAAGCTCTGCATTGAGCTGCAACCATTCAGATTTCCAAACTTTGTCACTTTGGATGTTTAAAAAATCAAAAATCTGGAAATGCTTCAAGACATGCTGCTCTCAATGCTCAAATCCTGCTGCAAGACTTTTTAATGCCCCTTGATGGGGCCCCCATACACTTTTCATGTAAACCAGAAGCCTTGGCGCTGAAAATGCAATGGATGCGAACAGACCATTAGGCTACGTTCACACTGCAGCCTGAAGTGACCCAAATCAGATTTTTTTTTGCCCTGGATCAGACCTTTTATGGCAGTCTGAACAACACAGATTTTTCCAATCCGACCCAGGCAACTTAGCTATGTGGTCCTGATTCAGATACAAATCTGATCTTTTCAAATACGACCTGTGTCTGAACGGCCAGGTTGCATTCATCTGACCTGAACGTCATTAATACCCGACAAAGGTCACTATTCTGGGTCTTGCTATGAAGAAGTGGCAAGAAAAACAACAGCCATGGCAGAAGAGGATGCGGAGAGCAGTATTTATGTTTAACCATATTGAAAAGATTGAGTTTTTACGGTTGGAAAAGACCGCTAGATGCGCGCCGGTACTACATCCATGTTTACTTCCGTAAACATAGAGCACGCTGGCCTGTGACGTCATTGCGTCCTCTGCTGCGCATGCGGGACACTTGCGTTGCATGACTGCAGTTCACACAACAGATCACATTCATTCACATATATTTGGAAATATGAGCTGCAACGCAAAAAAAAAAAAAAAAAATCGGATCTCACAAAAAAACGGAATTGATTATCAAGGCCTCCAGAATGAACGTTGCATTAATCAGTGGTGGCAATGCTAGTTCTGATGATCAGCTGTCATTCTATGAGAAGCTGCTCTTTTTCTTCCCTTTTCTGCTGCACATGGTGGCCGTGACCCAAAGATCAGACAATAAGAAACATGTTTGATTTACGTCTTTTAATGTGTTCTGCATCACTGGGTCACACCCCTGGAAAAGTATTAATAATTGTTTCTTAAAAATGCCTGGTTTAAAAATGTATTTATGGCCCCTATATTAACCACCATAGGAGGAGGAGGCGGCTGGCAGATAGCAGAAGCGACTTTGTGCACTTTAACGTCATTATCATTGTTTAAACTGAGAATGGCAAAATATGTAAACTTCTTCAGGCAACCTTTTCAGCAGACAGCTGTTCTCCCCTCTGCTTCTTTCTCTATCCCTCATGTTAAAACCTTGGGTGGTACAGGGGTAATGTTTATTTCTTATATTTAGTTGTCTATGGTTTTTATTTTAGTTATCTTTCTCAGTGGTACCGTGCAGAGTAAAAAGAGACTGAGCTTTATTCTCCAATGTAATAGTTGCCGTCATTATGTCGATGCTGTTTCCTACCTGAGTAGCGGAACTTTGCAGCACCTCCAGAGTTATTTGGCTGATTGTCTGAATGGTGCTCTCCATGCTCTAATTCCTAATACGGTAGGTTTGCAGTGGAATTGTTCTCTTTTTATTTCAGCTGAAGGGTTGAACATTGCTCTGTCAGATGTTTAGGAGCTTATAAATTTTACAAAGAAATTCAATTAAACCTGAAGGGAGTTTCATAATTTTTTTAAATATAATTTAAAAACATAAAAAATAAAAATATTTTTTCTTTGTTACTTTTACTCCATGTTCAACCATGTCATGAATGTTGACTCTCTCTCTCTCTGAGGGATCCAGTTTATTTCTCTAAATATTCTGTCATATTTTCAAAGTAAAAGTAGAGGAGGTATCACAAGTCCCAGTTTCATTCAGTAAGTCCCTGAAAACAGATGTATCCACACATGACCTGCTCAAATTGATGGAAAACATAACGTGTGATCAAAGGTTTTGTTCACACGTGTGTGTGTGTCTCTATGACAATCAGACTAAATATTATCCCAACTGTGGTTCCGACTTGGAATCTACGGATCGTTCACTATCAAGCTGCACTGCCATTTTATTGGTTCCTCCATGAATACAGTACAAGCAGAGTCAGTACTGTATCAAGGAGGCATATAATCAGAGAGGGCTGGTCAGCTCTTTCCTGCTGCCTCCGGTGAAGCGTTTCTGTTTGTGCCTCTCTCCCTTTGATTATTGGATGTCAGTGTGTAATATCAACATTAATGACATATTATTTTGGACCTCTGACAAGCTTCCATGAGTCAAACGGCAGCAGATGAGAAGTGGCTGAAGCAAAGGCTCCTTTGTGCTAGAAACAGTCCTAATGTAGGTTTGTCTTTTTGACAGCTCAGGTCGGGGAACGTGTCTGGACAATGAGCCCCCAAAACGAGATTTCCTGTATCCAACCATGGCCCCGGGGCAGGTGTACGATGCAGACGAGCAGTGCCGCTTCCAGTACGGAACATCCTCGCGTCAGTGCAAGTATGGGGTAAGAAACCAGCATCTCGCCCATTTCACTAATAAACAAATCCCTTATTCTGACCTATCAGACGGTCAGATCAATGATAAAACACTCGTTATACTTTTGTCTAACATCTTTGTAATGCCACAAACTGCACCTCTGTACATTCTGTGTTGTATGCAGTCAAATCAGAGATTATCTCCGACTATTAGAGATGAACTAAGTTATTTCATTTTATCCAAGAAAAATATTTGACAGCACATTATGACAAGCTCCGAAATCATGTCCTGTTATTTTGGCCCCTAAGCTCATAATTGTGGTTTTAGAACAGGATGAAAGACGTAAGACTTTTACGGGAATGATTCAACTCAGCCAAACTGCAGTTTATTTTGAGACGGTAATCAGATCACACTGCCTGGCATGGAGGAGATGTACCCTGTGATCTGACCAGCATGACAACCCCAGAGGAGTGCCGGGGATATCCAGGTCTAATGGATAGTTCCCACATGACGTAACATCCAATTTGTTGAGAACAACAGCCCCGTTGTGATGGTATATAAAGCCTGAACAAATGCGCTTAACCGTTCCACGTAAGATATCCTCAGTGGTTGTGTATTGTCGGGTTAATTTTGTTTTATTTGTACAAGTTTGTTGTCCAAACAACAGAAATCAGCTTTTTGTTTTGACTAAATTAGTCACAAGATCAAATCTTGTTTAGTTTTGTACAAAAATAAAACAGTAAAAATAAGTTTTTTTCATTACATACCAAGTTTTAGAAGAAGTGAATCTGAATGTGAGGAAACATAGCAACTAAGCATTGAGCATTATTATTAGCCAGCTACATAGATATTAGCTATATAAATGAGATTGTAGCTGGTAAATATCCAGAGGAAAAATGCAGATTCACTCTGATCATTTTATCTTTTTTTTTTTTTATAAATTGGATCCAACCTTTTTTAAAATGATTTATCAGTTTGGGGTTTTCATAAACAAACAAAACAAAGAGTTGCACATGATGCCGTTATCTCACATTGCATAAGTGGAGATTTGAAGAACAAGCAAGAGGGGGAAACTGTGGCTTTCCTTTAATAAATAAAGGTCAAATTGTTTCTTCATCTGTCTTATGCCTTACGTGCTATCAATCAATCAATTTCTTTATTGTCAACTACAATTTACATTGTAATCGAGATTTCAGTTTCAGTACACACCGTTCATCACATGTCATTCATTATTTATTAATTCGCATTATATGTGGAAAGAAATAAAAAAGAGGGTAAAAATTCACTTAAAATAATAAGAGTTGACTGCTTGTTTGGAACTGGCTTCTAAAGAGTTTATGTTTTTTTTCTTTTTCCTTTATTTGGCTCTAAATTACAGAGGTAATGAGTAATGAGTTGTTGGTGCATTGTCACACATTACTCAGACATGTAAAATTTAACAGCATAAAGACCCACATGGATAACGTCTGCGTTTTGTTTTGGTTTCAAACACACATGATCTCATAAAACTGCGTCATTAAAGAGAGCCGTCTGACCTCTACAGCGTATAATTTTAGCACATTTTAAACATATTACTGTTTCTTTCTATTTAGGTATAAGAATAAATGCTTTTATGACTTTACTTAGCATGTTAGACAGGTTTCTTGTTTTGCTGTTTTGTAAGTCTTATAAGCTGACTTAACCTTATAAGGTGAGTCAATACATAATGTCATGAAAGCCTATGCCATGATCAAAATGAAAGAAGTTAATTAAAACTGTATTCAAGCCTTGTCAATTTAAAGGACAATAAGTTTCTATATTCTTTGGCCTCTAGTATTTAATAAAGGTGTTGGATACAGCTTATTTGATATCAATCTAATACCAAATAAATACAGGGCCAGTACTGTGGATACTGATACCGATACATTTTAAATTTAGATATTTTGTCTTAATCAATGTTAGGGAATAACTGAGATTTCGTAAATCTCAGTTAGCAATCTGATTGCAGCCATCCAGCACTATTCCCTGCTAATATTAGCTGGTGAAAATAACTATAATTATATCAATATCACATAGTATAAACAGTGTGAGGCTCTCAGTTTTGAAAAGTTATCCCCTGAGCTCTGATGTCAATAGTTTTTTGAGCTCTGATGTCAATAGTCGATTACAACACAAATGAGACACTAAGTGTTGAGGCATTCATGTGGAGTTAATTGTCTGTAAGTAGCAGGAGTAAGGGAAGAAACGTCTGTGAAAGTCGGAGGACCGCTCCAAGATGGCTGCCGTACTTTATGCGCACCAACAGCCAATTCTGTATCTGCTCTTTTATAATGTCCAAGGGTTCCACTCTCAAAATGACAAAAGTTTAAACAAGGGCTCAAAAATGGGTCCAAACACAAGTAGGAGAGAATCTAGAGGTGCATTAATACCAAGAGAGTGCAGTGAAAGAGCATGCAACTATACTTGGGATGTATGTTTTCCTCTGTGTGATGTTGTTTGGCCCTGACTGTAAATACATAAATGTTGGTATGCTACCGGAAAATTAAATATCCATTTCTTTAAGGTTTTAAGGCTGATTTATACTCAGAAACCAGGGTTCCTGTGTGTGTGTCGCAGTTAACTCGGATATGCCCCCGCCCCTTCCGCAGACACTCTGGTGCATGTCTCTGAATGTGCAGGTGACCGCAGACAGTGCCACAGACAGGAGGCCTCTGATTGGTTAAATCTACATCTGCTCTAAACTATGCGTATTTGCTGTTAGGTACCTTACCGGCTTTTTTTTTTTGTATGACCGCCATTGTGGAAAACAACTCGTGAAGATGCACCAGCTAGAGGAGTGCGATGCACAAAGGTTAGGACCCTTTTTCCATCTGGATCCCGCTCTTTTTAGCCCTTATGTCCTGTCGCACAAACTTGCCCCTTGCGTTTTTCAACTTCCTCACCCCGTCGGCCGTATCTAGACCCACAGCTACTTCGTTATTGTCCCTCTTGTATTGTGGTGTGGAATAACATAGTGTAGACCACGCTTCAAAATTGGGCATAAATCAAAAATATCTGTGTCAAACCAACGACAAGCTCACTGCGACACACTGCTGCGGGAGTATAACCAGCCCTTAAGGGTTCCACCCTCAAAATAAAAAAAGGTTAAACGAGGGCTCAAAAATAGGTCCAAACACAAGTAGGAGAGAATCTACAGGTGCATAAATAGCAAGAGAGCGCAATGAAAGAGCATGCAGCTATGCTTGGAACCTATGCTTGCCACTGTGTGATGTTGTTTGGCCCTGACTGCAAATACATAAATATTGGTATGCTACCAGAAAATTAAATATCTATTTCGTTAAGGTATTAGGATTATGATGGGTGCTATGATGTAGCTAGAAACTTGCAGAAAAAGTTATGGTTTGTTGTTCTGTTTCCTTTGTATTGATTGAGGTAAAAATATACTCCATTAGAAACATTTTTTGCCTTATTTCCAAAAGTTATGGTGATTTAATTGATTAGCATGAACTGTAAAGAAAGGAAACCAGTTAAATCTAGACTTGTTAATATATTATAAAACATTAAAAAAAAGAAACAAAAGCAACAAAAATAAATTTGAGTTGAAGCTTTTATAGGCAATATTTTTCAGTTGTGTTTTGATATGTTGGAATAACTGCAGAAACACCAATGCAGATCAACAGAGCAGTTATATTTCACTGACTATGGCCTTCAGAGAGTTTAAGTAACTTAAGCCTTGTTGATGACTGAGCACTAGGGGGTCGCCATGGAATCTAACTCTCAGTATGAGACTTCGTCAGAGGTGGGAATAGACATCAGAGTATATTTGTGACTTTACAGCAGTAATTTAGTCACCCTCAAAGCTACCAACATAATCTAGCATGGGAGTGCTTCCTAGGTCATCAGCGGAAGCTGTAACCTATGAAAATAAACAAACACCATTTGATGGATGTATTAGCAAAGTCCTTACTCAGTCCTCCAGCTCTTTTTATTATTAGCTTGTTCTCTGTTAACATAAATCCATTAGGCTCTCATCCCTGAACTCTGAGGTCTGCACCGCTGACCTACGAGCTTGGCAGATGATAGTGAATGGAGCAACATGGTGGCTTATTGAAAGCAGCTGGGAGAGGGTAATCCTTGCAACTGAAGAGCGGCAGTTTGCTGCTTTATTTAATCTGGACAGACTCAGAGAGCTGCAGGCCTGTGGCATATTTTCTGACCCTGGGGTTAAGGATCTACGTGTGGAATCGTAACTCTCTTTCATGAGTCTACTCTTCTGCAGCGCACAACTGTCCTGTTAAAAGCCTTTGAAGTTGAAAGATGGGGCAAGCCGGTTTGGTTTAATGGGAAATCTAATGCAAGGTTATACAGGAATGTCCTTGTAGTATGATAATCCATTTATGGCATTATTTATTTGGGGGCAACTCACTGCTGCCTCCTATTACTTCAGTAATCTAAATGGATTCCCCGTTCTAGACGGAGGAATTGTGCTTATTCAGACTACTCAATAAAACTGCAGATATTTGTCTTTATCTGAGACTTGGGAGGCATGTTGCTCACTCTTGGTTTCCCTTTAGACGCCAAAAAGGGATTTCTTGAACTGATGTCACGGTCCCGTGTGGTTCTGAGGTAAACGTGAAAAAAAGTTAGTCATGCTGTTGATCCAGCTGAGTCTTCATTTCTCATAAAAGCACATTAAGAGCACCAGATGACCCCTTGGCTTATTGCTTAAGATTCACTATGATCCAAAGCATATGGGCTCTTGATGTCAGAAGCCTTTCAGCAGTCAAGATGCTGTCTCATCAACCCCCCCTTTTCTGATTTCATCACAAATCATGTCGATTTAGAGATTAATTTCTTTCATTTGTCTTCTTTTTTTTTTTTTGCTCATCTCACAACTGTCAGACAGCAGAGGTAAAACACCAAGAGGAAAACCACAAAAATCCAATGATAAATCTTACTCGCTGGTTTTCCAGCAGTCAACCCCCCAGTCTGCCGATTTGATTTATTCTGACCAACTTGCTTTTTGCCTTCTTTCCTAGGAAGTGTGTAGAGAGCTCTGGTGCCTTAGCAAAAGCAACCGCTGTGTAACTAACAGTATCCCAGCTGCAGAAGGGACCCTGTGCCAGACTGGCAGCATTGAGAAAGGGGTAAGTCAGCAAATGTTTCTTCTGCATTTGAATATGATTGCAAATAACCTAAAAGTCCCTAACCCCCCACACACTCACTGTTCCAAGGTTTTCCTTACAAAAAAAGCCACACAAAATTCATACAGGATTATGGTCAAAAGATAAAATCCCACTTTTTTGCAGATACACTTTAAAAAAAGAGGTTATTGTTTTTACCCTTCTTAACTTTCATGTCTGATATCGTACTATGCCTTTATAAAAAGTAAAGCCCACCAATCAAGATTCTGAGGAAATCTCAAAATCACAAATTAACCTGAATATATATTTGGAAATTCTAAGTACAGGACAGTCATGTATTCTCCAGACTAAATACCTATCGTTATTGAACACAGCTACATTTTACCCTGGTTATCTATATCAACTATAGGAGTGAGAATTGGCAAGAATTTGTCATGAACCGGGGACAGATGGACCCAGTATTCAAGGAGAGACAGTCAGTAGGAAAGTTCAAAACGTTTATTAAATAAACAAACAAAACAAAAGCGGAGCTGTGGCACGCGGACACTTCAGGCGGGGGGGCGGGGCACCGCCCAATCTCAGACACTCTGTAGTGGGAGAAACACAGGTAAGTGACCACGATCATCTGACTGAAGATGATCGTGGTCACTTACCTGGTTTAGCAGTTCAGTCCATACCCTTTGAGGGGTGCAATCCAGCCGATGGCCTGACAGCTGACGCAGCTCGCGTCACCCAGAGTGTCCCCAGTGCTGCAGCTCCGGAGGAGTTGGGGGAAGCCGATCCTGATCAGGGATGCAGATCAGGCAGGAACAGACAGAACAGGTTGCAGATCAGGCAGGAACAGAACAGGTAGCAGGTTCCAGGCTTCCAGGCTTTAACAGAGCTCCGGGACAGGAGGGTTCAGAGTCCAACTGGGACCAAAAGCATGACCAGGTGGTCACGCACAGGAGCAGACAGGATCAGGTGCAGACAGGCAGGCTCAGTGCAAGAGGGTAGCCGAGACAGGACGTCGAACCGGAACTTGAAGCAGGACTTTAAACTGGTCTCCTCCCTGGAGCCAGGCTTACTGGATAAAAACTGAACCTCCCCCCATATTGAGCCAAAAACCCAGAGGACTCCGCGGGGGAGGAACAGTGGACGATCAGGAGACGAGACAAACACAAAAACCCTCTTTCCACTGGCTGCTAGGATCCAGTAGCCTGACGTAGTCCTACTCAATTTTAGTCAGAATATGAGTCTGATACTGCTCCATAGAGCTGTGATTATGGGGCGTGTTTCGAATGAACCAGGAAAAAAAATGCCTTTGCACTCAATTGGATAGACCTACAACCAATAAGAGCAACGGAGTGCGTGACGTATGTTAAGCCACGCATAGTTGTTGTCAACAAAAATCAAAGCGTGCAGTTGCACGCCTAGAATAAGAAGATGAGACTTGATCGCGTTTCTCTGTTCCTCTTTTAAAATTAATTTGCTGTCGATATCTTCTAGAACAGACCTAATAGCAGTATCTACTCACCTCCACTCTCCAGCGGCAGCCATTGTTGTTGTCACCCAAGCGCGCTTTGGTCACGTGGTTGATTACGTTACTGTTGATCATCTGTCCATCATCGTATAAAGCCCGCCCTGACAATTTGATTGGATCGCCAGAGGGTGGGCGATCATACTCGCGCTACTATGGAGCAGAGCCAGACCGAACTTCCTGACCTCAAACCTTGTGGGCGGGACTAAGTTCGGAATGGCACCCAGGCTAAGGATCCAGGACATGAACCATGAAATAAAAATAACAGACAGGCTAACAGAAAGACACGTAATGATCTGGCCCTGAATGCTCAGGCTGAACTGAATATAACCAAGAGCAAACAGGTGAGAGGAATAAATTATAATTGAGGCAGGGAGGGAAAACAGACAGGTGAGAGGAATGACTAATTAAGGGATAGCAAACAGGCTAGATCATGACAGAATTTGGCGATAAGTGTCATCATATGATTTATCCCGATACGTTAACAAAGACGATATATTGCAGTTTGTATAATAATATAGCTGTGGAAGACCTCACAAAATCTTGTAGTTGCTCTGCTTTTGCTGGTTCAGAGCAGCTAAATAATAGGCTATTGGGCACTGCACTGCCAACTAGTGGCTGGAGGTTTAAAAGTTTTATATAAAAGTAAGACAATGACATGGATGCTTGCCTTTTTTTACATTTAAGTTCCATTCATCTGTTTTTTGAATTAGGACTTTGTGCCTTGGGAAAATCTGTAGAAGAAAAGCCAAACCAGTTTCATATAATGGAAGTATTGTCACTACATGCAGCTAACACTATACACATAAACAAGGAGGCAGGTAAGAAAGTGCGCCACTTCCGGTTATTCGCTGTGATTGGTTGGTCAGACGAACTATGAAGTACATCTGGTGCTTTGGTGGATTAGCATAGAACTGCAATTTTATCCAAATGTGACCTAAACGATTCTACGATCTCCTTACCTTTCAGATCATCTACTTGTTCTAAACCTTCACATTCTAATATCATCATATCACACACTCCTATTTTTAATCAATACCAATATCTATTGAAATCTTGTGATATTATATTGCTTATATATGTTAAATGTATTTTTATGGTGTGCTAGTATTATACAGATATATAGCCTTCATTTCCATTTTTTTATATATAAATTTCAAAGCATTGAGGTGCTCATGGAGTCCCCTAATATGCCCATTGGGATGATATACGACTTCGGCCTCACAAGAATCCAACTAAATTACAATAACAGTCACAACCTGTGTTGAAAAGAGACAGTCATCAACAAAGGTAACAAATTAGTCTAGGTTTGACTGTTCCATGAAATGCAAATTTAATTTAGTTCTAATTCTGAGGTCGCACTGCTGCAAATGTTATGGATGCTTTAGTGAAGTCCGACCTTAATAAACAGCCTTTAGCAGTTCAGAGTTATAACTCTGGGAAGTTTACTTCTATCCCTCAAGCTGTTTTTGTCTGTGTGCACGTGGAACTTTGAAAATAAGGAGATGTCCCAGGCAACACTTAAAGCATTTTGTGATATATTGTTAGATGGTAATTATCAGACTATGCATTTATTTCTTTGTCTACATGTGTTTATTACTTCTCTGGATTAATTAGAACATCTTAGCCGGGAAGAATGGTTGAAGTCATCTCACCAATATCATGTCTGTAAATAACCATGGGAGGTGGTCATGATGCTTGTAACAGATCATATCATTTCCCTACGTCGTACATCAATCAGAATAATAATTTTCCCCTCGTCCTGTGCAGATTCCCTTTAACAATGAACCAGAGACAGCTGCGTTTGAAGTTCTTTTATAATCTACAGACCTTGAACCATTACAAACCATTGTATTATGTTCAGGAATTAATGTCAGTTTTAGAAGACATTTCTTTTGGATGAGAGACAAAACGTCTTCTAGAAAACCTCACTTGTTGCCTAAACTGAACTTTTCAAGCTTTACCATGACCTGGATGACTGAGAATCTTCACAGATATGGTAAAGGACCAAGATAGTATGACTTCAAGTCACTCCAAGTTGTGATTTAGTGTACCCTGACAGAGAAGAGTGATTCCCATGTCCTAATGTCCTTCCATAGGCAGTACCCTGGTTAAGGCTTTTCAGAAAGCAGCAAGCATTACGTTCAGTCTTCCCTAACATTCTTGAGAACAATGAAACAAAGATTTGCATTTAAAGAGGATTTTGGCTCTATTTAAAGTCATTTTTCTGGTGAGATGGTAACTTAACATTTCATGTCAACATGAAACACAGTTCCGTAAAAAATTTTTTTTCCATTTTCCATTACGCTTTATCCCAGGTGGGGTCACAAGACCTGCTGGTACCTATCTCCAGCTGTCTCCTGGCAAGAGGCAGGGTGCACCCTGGACAGGTTGCCAATCTATCAGGCAACACAGAGACAAACAGCCATTCACAGACACACCTAAGGAGAGTTTAGAGAAGCAAATTAACCTAACAGTCATGTTTTTGGGACTATGGGATGAAGCTAGAGTACCCAGAGAAAACCCATGCATGCACAGGGAGAACAAGCAAACTTCATGCAGAAAGACGCCAGGCTGGGAATTAAACCAGCAATACGCCTACTTATTGTATGTAATAAAATCCCTTTATTGCAATCTTCAAAGATCTTTTTAGATATTTTTGACATACACCCTTGTTTTATACCATTTGGAACTTCCTTTTCTGTCCATTGTTACTTCCTTTCTTCCATTGGGCGAACACAGTATGGATGGTCCATTGATTTGGCCATTTCAACTGAAAAAGCCAAAGAAAATGATCCCGGTCATCCAGCACGTCTTCACATAGATGTGAAACGTGTTGGCTGATACGTTTGTTCTGAAACTTCAATCAAATAGAGACGACCCAATATGGCACTCTAAGGTGTGTTCACCTGGACATCTCTTTTGATGAACTCCTAAATCAAAGCTACAAAGAAAGCTTTCATTTAAAATAGGAGGCTTTTAGTCTTTGGAAGCTTTAGGTCATCAGGCCTCTGATTATGCCAACCAGGTTAGGGGGAGACAGTTTTAACACGGATTATTGCAGCCATTGTTGATGGTCCTAGTTCTAAAAGGGAAGAATAGGAGATTGTCACGAGCTGTCGTCCATGATTACCATTAGCTCATTGGAGCCTTTGAGGACCGGAGCCCACGTACAGGGTCCTGGACAACACAGGGGGCCCCAGGTTAAACCACGGGGGCTTTAGAAGAGCTTTCGGAGCAGCTTTAGGAAAGCCCACGGCTCACTCTGTCTGCCTTTGCCGAAGGAATGATTGTCAGCCATTTCTTATCTGGCGTATGACGAAAAGAGGCTCTCCCAACAAAAGTAGAAGGATGGAGGAACAGGTCAGATAAAAGTCAAGCAGAAGCTTTCAGGTTTTCACGGAGTTCAAATGGATCCGCAGATATACATTACACTCTAAGGTTTTCAGTACTGATCCCTCTGTCTTTTTTCCCAACTCTCTTCCCTCTCTCCTCTGACTCTAGCTCTGCTAATCTTGTTTAGACACGGCCTCAGCACATGAATAGTCCGTCAAATAGGGCAGTAGCCTAGCCAAGCCCTCACCTTGACTGTTTCAGTGTCAGTTTCAGTGGAACAATAACCCACTGACACAGTTGGAGAGACAAAAGGTTAGTTTCTGATCCCCTCCTCCATCGCTGACGCTGACCAGCTTAGCTGGAGGTTGCAACTGCTTCTGAAGCATTACTCAGCAATCTTTTTGTTTCTTTCCTGCTTTGGAGACGATCGCACATTAAATTGTGAAAGCAGTTCTAAAACCACAGGCGATGTGGTTAGTACTTTTTGTTCGTTTTCTTTACTGCATAGCCTGGTGAAAATAAACCAGGCTCTTTCTTGCACCATACAGTTACCTAAAAAGGGAAATTACTATAAAATTTCTTCATTTTTTTCCCACAAATATGACCAACCCTTCGTACACTGTTTAAGACATCCATGTCCGCTGCATGATGCTGCCAACAGCCTGTTTCACTGTTAGGACATTGACTCAGATTTATGCAAAGTCTTAGATTTCTGAAACAGAGCATTTTGAATGCAGAGCCGACAGTTCTATCTATTCTGCATTAGGATGAAGGAAATTCTAACCCATCTGGTTACTGACATCTTGGACATATTGAATTAGTAATTAAGTAACTAAGTGAACATTGTTGATATAGTAAGTTGTGTGTCATCAGCATAAAGGTTTTGGTATTAATCATAATAAGGCCTTGAAGAGGTTGAATAACTATCAATCCACCAGTTTGTTCACTTGGTTTAACAAATATCAAGAAGTCACAAAGACAAGCTCTCACGTTACACCTTGTGCACAAGTGAAAATGGAAGCGTGACAAGGAAAGAAATCGTGCAAAGGTTTGCCCGTTTATCCCTGATTATAAAGTTGAAGTATGCGTTGCACACAAAAATCAGTCTAATCATTAAACCCAGAGGTATACAAAATTTAATTTTCTTCATAATGTGTTAAAAAGATTATTCTTAGTTGGCATTTTTTTCAACTTCAAATCCGAGTTATTCCACAGCTTTACTGCATGTAGTACACTTATTAAATTAGGGATGCACGATATTGGGATTTTGGTCGATATCCGATATGCCGATATTTTAAAACTCATGTAGCCGATAACCGACATCGATACCGATGTTAAAGCTGGACAAAAATAAGTAGTCATTGAAAATAGCAGTTTTGTTTTCCATTTCTGAAACTTTGAAAAATAATATACTCAAATATATTTTCATATGCTGATATCAAATTGATTTTTAAAAACGCGGTATCAATCTATTTTACTTTCAAAATCTCGTGAACTTTTATCGTTCTGTTACAAACTCTCGTGATATTTTGCAAATTCTTGTGAGATTTTGTTAGTAAAATAGATCGATGCCGCGTCAATATATCAACATATAAAAATATGGCAAAATTTCGTGAATTTTGGGGGGATTTCGTAGCATAACGATGACATATAGCAATATTTCATTAGTAAAAGAGATTGATATGGTGTTTTTAAATGGCAATATATCAGCAAATGAAGATATTGTGATATTTTAATGTATCAATATTTTTCCCTCGTCTTTAGAAGTTTTTAAGTCTGTAAAAAGACATTTTTGAGGAAGAAGAAGAAGTAGTATTTTTTTTTTTTTTTTTTGACTTTAGAAACTCAGAAGCTAATCAAATATCGGGTTAAATATCGGTGGGGTGGCCGATGTCCGATATTTAGTTTTAAGGCCGATACAGGCCGATACCGATAGGGGGCCGATTATATCGTGCATCCCTATATAAAATCCTACTTAATTTGGCTGTTATATCACTTGATCTTCAGTGGGCCGACTACAGAGTCTTTAGAAACCCCACTAACCATTTTTTCCATCAAGTGTTTGTCAGATTTATCAATATGTAATAACTACTTTTAAAAGCCTGGAAAGATTAATTGATTTACTGTCATAACAATCAAAGCTTCATTTTTTTCTGTTTTGCCCCTCCATGACCAGTGGTGCTACCAAGGAGAATGTGTTGCGTTTGGCAGTTGGCCTCAGAGTGCAGATGGAGACTGGGGGCCGTGGTCTTTATGGGGAGAGTGCAGCAGGACCTGTGGAGGAGGTGTTTCGTCCTCCATGAGGCACTGTGACAGCCCAGCGTAAGTAGGCAAAAGTAAGCCACAACAAGCCGAACACACGCATCCAGGTCCTGCCTTCAAGTGTGTGTTTGTGTGTAATCTGTATGTGCATGTGTGTTATATCCATGTGGCTACAGAGGGACAGAAATTAATCTGTTTCTGAAGTACATCAGAAAGTAATTATATATTTTGGGCCTGTCAAAATGGATAAAACAATTATTTCTATTATACTAATCAGAAATAATAAGATTTATTTGAAATAATAACACTAAAATAATGATACTTTTATTCTGCACAATCTAGACATCGGTGAAACAGCAAAAGCTTTCCAAACACCAAAACAGCTGCATTGTAATGAATGAAATGGAGCAATGCCACGTACTGTATACTATATAACATGTATGGTATAAAAGTAAGATGCATTAACACAATTTACTGTTTCAATGCAGATAGATGGTAAAACAGAACTATAGTAAAGAGACTATAGTAATAATCCCACTGCTTTTCTCAGTAGTTCTGCAGTTTTAAAACATTGTTATAATACCTCAATTAGTTGCTCATTAGCTGCTAATGCCGAGATTTCCATCTGTCCTAAAGCTTTCTATTGGTGCTCTGTTGCATTTGATCATCTTGAGTTAAACATTTAAAATGTTTAGACTGGTCAAACCTGAAGAGGATCATTCCTGGAGCTTATGAGGTGGTAAAATGTTTTTGTTTTAAAGCCACTAACCAGAGCATCCCTGGCCTGCAGGCAGACATCTGGAATCTTTATCCTTCTTCCACTGTCGTATTCCTTCGTTTTGGAAGCTAGGTATTTCGTCAGACATGCTATTAGAAGACAAAAGAAAGCGAAGGTGAATAAGACAGGAGAGGGGAGAAAAAAGAAAGGGTGGAAAAGTGAAGGCACCAGGGTAATGTGGACCACCTGTGTAAGGTAATCAGCTCAGCTCAGGCATCGGTGCAAAGTGGAGTGCAGCCAGAGGAGCCTCTTAACACATTCATTACAGGAGCCTCTTTGCAATGAAGTGGAAATAATCATGGGGAAAACGAGAGGCTAATGAAGGTGAAAGGAAGAATAAAAGAAAGAAAATAAATCCCTGAAAAGATGGAGTGGATGTAGTCTCGACAAGGGGGGGGGACCTGTAAAGAGAATTGTTCTGAAGTTACAGACTGCATCTCCCGTCCAAATCTAAATGTCGTGTCACACTTAAGAGGTCTTACAGCAGCTTGGGTTTCATGAATGAACCGCTGGCACACAGACTCAGCAAAGCAGCAAAAATCACACACAAACATACTTCTGTGTTCTGGCAGAGACTCTGTCACCAAACTTGTGCTTTTGTGGCGTCAAACCTCCGTCTTAGCTTACAGCCGTAAAAATAAATTCTCATTGTAATTCATTGTAAGCGCCTGAAATTCGAGATGTTAAATTAACTTTTTTTTTTTTTCCCTCTTGAACTCCCCATTCATTAAAATCTCTTCTTTCTTGCAGCCCATCTGGAGGCGGAAAGTACTGTCTTGGAGAGAGAAAACGATACAGATCCTGTAACATTGATGTGAGTCCATCTTCATTACGTTACCTCCTTGTCTTACTTAGATTTAGATCAACTACATGGTAATATTCCTGCTGTATTTATGACATTAAACTATTCAAAAAAGAAAAGGACAAGAATTCACTGTTTTCATCTAAATAAACTGTCAGTTTGTACTTCTTCAGTGGAATTTCTGAAACATCTATCTGCATAAGGTGCAAGAACGGATGTGTAATATCACAAAACTATGAGCTTGTGACATTTAAAAACAGCTCTGGCCTTAGAAAGACAAGGAAACCTCATAACACTTAATTAGAAGAAAAATGTTAAAAACCAACAAGCGTATTATATCTAGCCTCTAAACTAAGGCGGTGGAGACAAAGGGCGTTGCTTTGACGGGTAGCCATCCGGATGATGATCACAGTGAAAGGGATCCAGAATTCCTTTGAGGTAATGGGAAAACCTTGCAACCGAATAACCATGAAAGAAGCATTCTACCAATTATGGTTTGTTTTATGCATCAACACCCTTTCCTCATTAAAAGATATACCTCCAGCTGTTGGGAGTTTGCCAAAAGATTCTCAGACTATGAGACACTCAAAGTCTTTATTCCTGACCTGTCAATATTCAGGCTTGCTAACCACATTTGATCTGCAATGAATTAGCATAGGAAGTTTCTTATCTATGTTACTGAAGGCCCACCAGTAGGTCACAAAGAACAAAAAAGTAAAACTGGTAAAGAAGTTTTGTAATTGTGCTCAAAATTTCATCCATCTTGACAAACATCCTGATTCCAGAGCATGATGCTTCCACCACTGTGTTTAGCCTCGTGAGACCATCCTGATCTCGCGAGCTTTCAATGTTTCGCTCGCAGATCAGTCTGGAGACTCTCCGTTAAAGAAAATTTGGAGCTGTTCACCAAATGAACGTCCAATCAGCGTTGGCTTTGAGGCGGGTTGAGGTGTGACGCAACAAGAAGCGCGACAGTTCAGTCTAAAGAACATGGCGGCTTCAGCCGATGAAACTAGCGTTAGCGTGGCTATCAAGCAAGTTTTATCGGAATTACAGAGTATTTCTTCACTGAAAGAAGAGCAAAACACTGCTCTGGAGGCTTTTCTCAGAGGAAAAGATGTTTTTGCTCTTCTCCCGACTGGTTTCGGCAAGAGTTTGATCTATCAATTGGCTCGTCTTCGTCGTCGCTCTGTTAGTACGTCATATGCTTCATTGATCTGATTGGTTTATTTGGCCCGTCTATCACCAACATAGGCCAATCAGCTAACCAGTATTTTCACCCCTTCCCAAAATTACTTCAACGGAAGGTTTCCAGATGGATATGCGGGGCAAATCCAGCAAATCCATCTGGCGGAGTCATGTTACACTGTGTTCCACATTGGTGGGATGTATGGTTTACCTTTCTGAACTGTTTCCAAACTTTACCTCTAGTTTTATACAAGTATAATATGGAGCCAAATCAGTGACGGCTTGCATTGACATCGATGTGAGATTTGGCATTGAAAAATTAAACTGGAAAATTAAACTTGAAAATGTAAAATTTGCTTCTAAAAAACGTAAAAACTTCTAAAGCTTAAACAAAAGTTAAATCTGGACTCTCATCAGCTTCACCTGAATGAGCTGCGATGTCTCTTGTTCAGCTCCAGTCAATCAAATTCTCCGAAGCCAATCATCTTTCGAAGATCCCCTTCATTTAGCTCCTGGACCAGCTTCACTCTCCCGCATTCAAGGGAACTTTCACCCACCTGAAATTATAAAGCTTTTCAGATCAGTGTGCTGAAGGAATGGAAGCACAGAATTAGGTAATTAAGGTTCTCCAGACATATGGTAACATATGTAAAGAAAATTGGGACCATCGGCACATGTGAAATTGCAGAATCCATCTTTTGTTCCTGCACACCAGCTGTTTACACCCCTTTACTGATTTCTTCCTGTTTTCTGCTTTTTATATCAAATGTTTTAGATTTTCAACTCAATATTGACATTAGTCAAAATAAAACTTGAGGAAATATATATATATATATATATATATATATATATATATATATATATATATATATATATATATATATATATATATATATATATATATATATATATATATATATTTCAGACATGAGAGTTCCTGTTTCGCCTTCAGTTTGGCGTTAACTGTTATCATCCCTGTGGATGACTTTTATTATTGTCTCTCATTTCTGTGAATTTTTAAAATTCAGAATCATAGGAGGGTTTTAAGCATTAGAAGGCTGTTGAGGTCAACCGTAATGTGTCTAGAATCGAGATTTCTTTGCTTTTGTTAAAAAATTTTCTTTATTTGTGGATTTCTTATTTAGAGCTTTAGGTAGTAATCAGGCCTGGATGCAGCTCATTAAACTGAACCAAAAAAGTAAGTTTAGCAGCAGGTAATGCATGATTTTAAGAAGTCAGTAGTTATAGTTTAATTAAGGCTAAGAATGGTTTTATTTATACAGTGATATTCATACAGGTTCTCTCTTAAAAACTACATTTAAACTATCAAAAACATTTCCCTGGAACTAAAAGAATGTGCTGTGATTCAGTGTTCCCCCGGTATTTCTCTGTTTATTCTCCTTTTTATTTTTTGCAACATTATAAGTTATGTATCAGTACTGACACTTCTTTGGTCAACCAGTGGTAGCAGTCTCGGTGCGGATTTCATTTAAAAAAAAATGAATTTACAAAGCTTGGAGTTTTTCTCCAAGCTTTGTTTCATACAAATATTTAACATGGCTCCAAGTTGAGATCTCTGTTCAACTATTTCGAAGGTTTTTTGTTTTTTCTTTCGGTAAAAACTGCAACAGTTTAAGCTCTGCTAGACATTTAACCACAAGCGAATGTTTACTTTGGAAACCAAACAAGAGGCCTAACCGCAATTTCATACCATCCATGTCTAGTGTGTCTGGGACAACAACAAAAATATGAATACTTACCCCCATAGGCTGCGGTTTGTGTTGTTACTGTTACTAAATCAAATTATTGATTTATTATAAAACCAATTCCTAATAAAAAAGTAATCTCTGACTGAGAAATTTAAAAATGAATGATGTCCATATTTCACTTTGAATAAACAACAAAATGTAATAATAGTCAGATGGTATTTCTCAACCATATATCTTATGTTGTTGTCTTTGGAAGATCAGGTCCTGTTTTTGTTGACATTTTGCTGCAAACTGGAGGTATTGGGCAAAAACTTTCCATTATTTGCTTCTATGTCACTTAACTTACATACTGAAAGGATTTTATATCATCTCTGGCTGCAGAGGAGGAAACAGAACCCCTGTTCTAATGCACTTTGTTCATCATAGGATTAAAAAGCACACAGACGTAAGGGGTTGATTGCATTCATTCACATATTCACAGTGACACATAAAGCAGGAAGAAGTGCAGAAAGTCTTTGAAAGACGATATTTCACTCTGCATTATAAAGTTGGTGTATTTTGAATCTTATAATGCGTAAAATGTATCAGAACAAGGACTCTTAGTCTTAAAAAAAAAAAAGAAACATTTGATACCTGGTTTAAAATGGAACATACCAGTTAGTGGGTTTGCGGGGAGTGAAAAGATCCTCCTATGTAGGACAAAGAAGGATGGGGTCTGTTCTTAATTCTCATTTTAGGAATTTAAGTATCTTTAAAATGTATGAATAAGTAAATATCAATGAAGCATCTAGTATCAGAGATCAACACGTAAAACGTCTCTTTTTCTTTTCTTTCACTTTTCCAGGCATGCCCAGCTGGATCTCAGGATTTCAGAGAGAAGCAGTGCGCAGATTTTGATAACATGCCTTTCCGTGGGAAGTATTACAACTGGAAGCCTTACACTGGTGGTGAGTTAAGGACTAAAACGTGAATCAAATCAATCTAAAACTAGCCCTTAAGGTGCAGAAAAAAAAATAGAGCCCCCTTCCATCCACTGAATATCTGTTTTGAAGACTTACCTTATGGGTTCTATGCAAGGTTTTAACCTATTATTATACATTTTCACCGACCAAATACTAAAATTGTGTTGCTAGCGGACTAACCAAAATAAGAGCAAAGAATTTCCTAATGTTTTTATTATTTTTTTGACACACTTTTCTTGAATATTCTACACTTTAATGCACTCAGATTTACAGAGTTATTCGGCCCTGTTTAGTAAATTCAAGTAATGTTTTTTGGAAGCTACTACTACAATCGTCAGGCTTTATATGGATGGATGGATGGATGGAGACTGTGAGAAAGAAATTAACTCGTAAAATACAAATTTTCTACTTTCATTTTTCATAAATACCAAACATACTTTATTCAGTCTCACACACCTGCATAGGAGTCCTGTTTATTTGAAGGGCTGAGCTGTAAAACCTGTCACCCTCCCCGAGTCACCAACGACAACTTCCAGACCTGTCTGGCTTGTGTTCCGTCTTAACACGACTAAAGAGAAGGTTCTGTTTGATGACTGGAGGAATTCTTGAGATTCCTCAAAATCCCTACAGCTGCTACTGCTGGACCAAACTTGGAGATCTGATTGTATAGCACTCCTGACTTGATACATCGCAGGTCAAGAGTAACAAGAATCCAACAAGTGCCTGAGTAATTTTTCCTCAACTTCTCAGGATGAGATGAATCAGTCTGTGTCTAAAGAATAGTAAGTCTGACCTGTTTATTTTAGCTGATCGTGGAAAGCATCCATTTAACACATTAAACAAGAGAAAAAATGTTTAAAGGATGTAATGCTTCAATGTTCTACGAGTGATGAAACTATTCAAGTGTAATATTATTCATCAAAAAATCTGTTACAGTTGGAAGAACAAGAATTGAATACCCTTTTTTCAGGTTTCAATGTTCAAACCATGCACAACTCCAGTTTTTATCAGTGGTACTCTTCAACAGGGACAAAATCTAAAAGAAAAGTTCATAGAACATACATTTTTTTTTATTCTTTGCTTTTTAAATTAGAAAAGTATTTAGTACATTAGAAAAACAAAACTGAACATTTCATAAAGAATTCTTTGTTTGAATTGCAGATCTTGAAAAGGTTTTTAAGCACTGCAGCTGGGATTGTTGGGCCACTCCTCCATACAGATCTTCTCCACCTCAGTATTGAGGTGGTCGCCAGGCAATAGCTCCTCCAAAGCTTTTTGACTGGGTTCAGGTCCGGAGACTAGATAGGATACTCTAAAATCTCGAGATAATGCTTATGGTGCCACTTGCTGTCTGTGTGCTTTGGGTGGTTGTCATGCTAGAAGACACAACCCCATCCTTAATATCCTTCCTGTATGTTAATGATCAGATAACTTACCTGTAACTTATGCCCCCGTATTAGCATATGCTGACATACGTCCTGAAATTTTGAGCATGCAAAAAATTTTTTGAAGTACTCGCCGTATGTCTAAGTGTGCCAGTCTGTTCCAGTGTACTTCAACGTGCTAATGACTTATACAAAACGTACCCATAACTTATGCAATGTATGCCAGCGTTTTTGCCAGGTTTTCCGTACATCAGGCATACGCTGGTCTAACTCGTCAAGGTATGACAGGCCCCTAAGAACTCTAGACCTGTCTTACTGGCCAGTGCTCATGCCATACAATTAAATGCAAGTTAAAAGTCACACACTGGGATTTATCTCAGGGTTTTTTGCTGTTTCTTTTTTTCATTTGAAGAATACCTTTGATACAAACTGAAGACTTGGTTTTCAAACAGCAGTGTATCAAATACTTGTCCTCCCCACTGTATGTACAATCGTTCCCCTCCTGACATAGACGGTGCTCGTTCTGGAAGCCGTCATGCAAATACCATAAACCTGCATCAGAATAATTGCTGCTGGCAGGTCACTCCGTCTCTGTTGATGTCAGCTTTATGGTGAAGTCATGTATGGTTAGTTTCGTGAACAAGTGGATATGGAGATGCCAGAGCTGGCCGTAATTCCTGGTCCAGTGATGATCATGTGCTGGGCTCCCCGTGCTGTTTGCTTGTGCGAGGAGGGTCTGCTGTTTGTTCTCTGAGTACAGGCCCAGCTGGAGGTAATGAGGTGTTCTGTGTGTTTTTCAGGCAGTGTGAAACCTTGCGCATTGAACTGCTTGGCAGAGGGCTATAACTTCTACACCGAGCGCTCCCCTGCTGTCGTTGACGGGACCCGATGTCACGCTGACTCTCTGGACATATGCATCAATGGGGAGTGTAAGGTAAGGCTACATATATCAGGGACGATCAGTGATTTTAGATTTATAAAACCACTTTGTATCTTAGTTTTGGTTTCATAAGCAACTTCTACAATATATTGAGATATTTCAAATGGGGTTTAATTTTGCAGTTTTGGGGAAATTTGGTTTAATAATTTCTGCAGATCTGAGTAGTTATTTAAGGTTATTTAGTAATTAAGAAAGCCTCTTGCAAAAGAATGCTCACCCCATAAGCTTTTTACAATTTGTCACAACCACAAACATCCTCACATTTTATCTTGAACATAATTTGGCAGGCTGATACAAAGACTGATTAAAAATGGAGGGGAAAACAGTTAAGCAGAACATCAAAAAGTGTTATATCCTCTTGTTCAGAGACATGAGTCTAGCACTTTTACATGCTTTGCACATTTGAAGATTCAAGTTGTTGCTCATTCTTCCTCACAAAATATTTAAAGTTCAGTCAGATTAGATGGAGATTGTTAGAAAACGATTATTAGTTTGTGCAACACATTCTGAACTAGATTCAGGTACAAACTTTGGTAGGAGGAGTTTACATTTGATGACATTCTCAGCTCTCAGATAAAAGGTTCTCTGGTATCAGGTCTCAGGAAACAGAAACATATCAGTTCACAGGTCTTAGAAAATATAATACAATAAAATATAAAGATGATTTAGGTGAGAATTTAGCGTTGACAAACTAAAAATATCTGCTTGGTTGGTCAAGATTTCACCCATGCAGGTTACCATTTTCTACCAGGGCAATGCATGCTGGGATGTTGCTGTTAGGTCTTACTGGACTAGAACCTGCAGAATAAACACAATAAGGCTAACATTATCCAAATTGTTTTTTTGTTGTGTCCGGTTTGAATGGTGTAAATTTAGACAATGCCACACTGCGTCGCTGTATCAAAGATTTCATTGGACATTAAAACAAACGTCAGCCGTTGTAATCTACTGTTTACTCTATTAGCTAGAGTTAACGGCTTGTACAAAAGCTAATGTGACAAGTTGCAAGATAATAAATGCCTGTTTAAAGTCGTAGGAAAGTCATATTTGAATTTCTGGCCTAAACATGTATATAAATGTACTCTTGATCAGAGTATATTGTCCCAAAATGTAGAAAATGGACATCTGTGTCTTTGGCAGGCGTAGAGCTAACAGAACTGGCAGCGTTGGGATGCAAGGCCTCAAACATGTACGGCTTTAAGCCTTCTAGACCAAACCAAGCTTCTGCCGCCCTGGCGTCCTCTTCTACAACATCTTCGTCCCCGCTTTCCTCCTCTAAATAAAAAATGGATGACAGAGGAGACTAATCCTCTGTCATCGTACAACCTCCGACACATAACTCTCCTCCTCTTGCATGTTTCCTCTGTCCATAGCGTTCCTTGACAGTGTCGTTTCTAAGTCACCAATTTAGTGCTACTTGCTCCCAATGGAATTTCCCATTGGGAACTAGCACTAAGTTGCTAACTGGTTAGCAAGATGCTTCCGAGAAAGCGGCCACAAGCAAACTTGCTTGCGATCCCTCCTCCCTTGATAAACGACCAATCACATTCACTTTATTCACTCGTTTAAAGTCTGGCACCACAATTCAGAAATGCAACCGTTGGAACAGCTGCTTCCCTATGACTTTAAATTGACAGTGAAACATCTTTCAGGCATTGAAACCTCCTTCTAATATATCTCAAAACTGTTTGGCTCACAATGCTAACTGTAAAAAGCCTCAATTAGAAGCTGGAGCTCTTTGTATCATAGCTCTCCATCTGGGTTAGTTTCTCCAAGAAACAGCCGCACATACACCAGCTTCTTCGACCAACTCTCCCCTCTTCCTCCTGTTGGGACATGTGCTACGTTCAGACCTCATGCGATCGAGGCAGCAAAAGCAGCTGGTTTACTTGCAAAGTCAATGGTTGATTCACATCAAGGAGCATCAAAAGGTCCTGCAGCGAGTTTCGAACAGCAGGAGTAGTGCATCTTTAGGCAGCTGAAACAGCTTTCCATGGGCTTCTGAGCATCTGATGGGCGTGACGCACTTCAAAAGCTGCAGCTGCTGGAGTAGGAAAATTTTTTTAACTTTTGCTGCTCGACTCACCACATCAACCAATCAGAGAAGCTGAGCTTTGACTAGCAGGAAGACAGACACAGCAATGCTGATTATCACTCCACTGAAACAATTTATTAACCCCTTAATTTACTTAAAATGTCGAAACCTTTATTATTCTAGTGCCTGCTGTTTGGGTTACGTACATGGAAAATGCTAACATCTCCTTCCAGCAACTATGGGCAGTATTGAAAAACTGGTTGCTGTGGATTTCCAGTGACAGCGCTCCTCCAGTGTACAAGGGTTTTATGGGTCCGTTTACCTTCAGCCAATTTGTTTCATTACGCTTCATAATTCTTTTCTTCAGGCTTGCATTATGTTAGGCTTTTATTTTTAAATATTTTCCTGCACTTCTGGGCCGTCCCTGAAACCGTCTTCGTCTTTCAGTCCTAAAAAGAAAATGGAAAAAAGAACCGGGGAAATCAAAAAACGGGCCGTTTTTTTCATTTAGTTTTTCTGGTTTTTTGTTTCTAAATTAACAAAAACGGAAAACTTCAACTTGATTTCCATTTTTTCCATTTTTGATTTTAAATGGAAAAACGGAAGCAGTTTCCGTTTTTCGTTTTGGTTTTCCAGAAAAAAAAAAAAAAAACGAATTGCCTGAAGGTACACAGACCTTTATGGTGGTTTGACAGTGAAATAATATTTGAAAGCAGGATTGTAATCTTGATGAATTGATTGCACAGATTAAGTTTTCAGGTGGACTTTCTCGCTTAAAAACATCTTAAAACTACATCTTATCAACTTTTAAGAACAAATAATAGTAAAACTGCTCTCTGCCATTGAACACAGGAGGAGCAGAGGCCTATGACGTATCTTCACGCACTTTACTGGACGAGCTTCAGGAGCATCAAAGATGGTCTTGAGGCACGTCGGCTCTGAATACGTACAAGCATTAAAAATGAAACAGCAGGCGCTTTTTTGCTACTCAAATCGCATTAGATTTGAATGTAGCATTATACCTGCTCATCAACTTCAACACCCTCTGGTTGAAGCTGGCTGGATGGAGCTAGTGCTACTGGACCTAGCATACATCATTTACCCAGAATGCATTGCAGCATAAAGAAAATCGCAACGTCTGTGCGACTATATTTTATTGAAATATATGAAAATTAAATAATTTACAATCATTTTAGAGTTTCGTATTAACATAAAAAATAAATATTCCTCAAAAAAAGTATTGTTAAAACTTCAATTAAAAAAAAAAAAGCTCTGTCCTTTTCCTGAGACCTAAGATCTAATAAAAATTATTCCTAGGGCAGAGGAAGTGAACATGTGATTTATGGGTGGGAAAAAAATATAATAAATAGTAAATAGAGCTCATTTGGACCCCTTATAATTTCATCTCTTCATTTCATCCCTTTTCATTTCTCTCAGAAGTCTCACGAGAATGTGGCCATATGGCCGCTAATGTGGATGTAGCTTTAGCAACATTAGAAGTTTGCCATGATTCTTTAACCATCACTCCTAGGTTTTTATACACAATAGATAAAAAGCTACACAATCAGCAACACTTGGTAGAATAGAGATGGGAGCAATATTAGCAAGGCGGGCTGTTGTTAGCACCCTTTCAGGACAGGAGGACCAAAATGGCGTTTTGTGGAGAGCTGGCTCTTGTAAACTTTTATGCCACCTGCACACTCTGGATTTTGCAGCAGGTTTTAACTAAAGCTGAACATGAATCGTTTTAACATGAAAAAGTCAGATTTCTGGGTGATAAATCCCTAAAGGATGGAGCCTAAAGCGATGGAAAAGAGACACAGAGACTCTAATGTCGCTAGAGTTAAGCAGTGTGACGGAAGATGGAAACAACTGGACGAATTCACGACGGCTGAGGAGTAAACAGCCAAAATCGGATTCAGCGAAATCCAACAAGTTGATTACACAGCCCCACATGTCAAAGCTGGAAAATGTCTCAAAACATGCAGCAGAAACCAGCCGAGGAGTCCCTGTAGGTAAATAGACGGAACATATTAGCAACGGCTGAGTTTGTTGGCTGATCCAACCCTCGCTGAGCTACTCTTCACCCAGTTCAGACAAAACTAAAGGCAGGGAGAGTCACAATCTGCCTGGCAGAGCAACATAAGCAAGGAAACTCATTATTTAACTATAATCTTGGTATCCAGATTTCATGCAGCAACAGCCTTTAAATAATCCTGAAGAAAGTCAACATTTACAGTTTTGCCCAATTATAGTTAATTCCCTGGAAAAGAAGAGTAGGTAGAGTAAGGAGAAACGCTTCTTTCTGTTGGTTTAAAGCTGAGAGCCGGCACTCTAAGCCCACATTCATCACACAAGTGTAACACAAGCAGGTTGTGATAGCACTTTATCTTAAGTGCGCTCTTCTGATTGGGAGCGTTAGCCATTTAATTTAGTCGAATAAATGAGTCAGTCATTTTATCTCCCTCCCCTCTGCCTTTTTGCTGGGTTTCCTTTGACAGCTCTGCGTGCTGGATACTGATTGTATAAACAACTTCCAGAGAAAAAAAAAAAAAAACACAATAAAAAAACAAAAAAAACAAAAAAAAAGAAACAACTCCGGAGAGAAACAATCAGTTCTTTGAGCTGCTGATTGTAATCGAATGAGGCCGGAGTAGCTCTTATCAGGGCCCTGCAGCCTCAATCTGGATTGTCTCAAGGTAAATAAAACAGGAAAAATTCCTGTTTTTATTGAATAACGTTTTTTTCTTTATATTTGAAAAGGCTGATTTAATAACAAGGCAAAATACAGTTTTATTGAAAGAAGTTGGCAGTTGATGCTCGCTTTGTTTCCATGAGCATAAATCATGTTGTGGGGCTGGTGTGATTCTGTGTGTGTGTCTGCAGGAGTTTTTTTTTTCCCCAATGTAATCTTGCAGATGCAGCTGAAATGATTTTGGTTCTTAATTTAAAGTGTTTGCTTTGACTTCCACCTGACCGTACAATTTGATTTGAGCTTGGCACAAAGATACAGGGGCTCTGCCCACAGCTTTAATCTGATTCTCATAAAGAAGAGACGAGAACCAACGCACACAGACACACAAAACGGTGCGTTGTTAAATGGCCAGAACCTCTCCAGCATGTTTTTGTTTCCAGCATACCACTTTATTTTAGAAGCTCTTCTTTTCAGGTTACAATTGCCTGACATTAAAAAGAACATCACTTGTCCATATTCTGTTGTTTAACAACCACAAACTTATTCAAATTTCATGTTGCAATCCAACAGGAAGATTCACATGATATTTAACAAATAAAATCTGAAACTTGAGGCTCGCATTTGGTTTTCAAATCCCTCTAAATGATAATTGCTTAATTGTTGAACAGAATCTGCTGGGATGTTTTTTAAGTGTACAACTTCTTGAACGCAAAACCCCTTTGTGATACATGGTGGTGGTGGTATAATGTAATGGGACGGAGGCAGAGGTTCTTCATCCACCAAAATAATTATCCAAAACATACCAGGATGACTAATACCTTTGATTCATATACTTTTACGTCATTACCAAGCACAATAAATTCTGTTTACATTTACATTTGAAATAATATGGTACAGATGTCTGTTACCTGCAGTACTCAGTGGTTCCTGCTTTAGCTAAAGTCATTTTAAGATGACATTAGCATGGTAACCAATTAACATGTTAAGATGGCGCCTGCTTTATCAATGTTGTTGGCTGTGGACAAGTTGCTAACGCAGGTATGAATGCTAACAACGCAGTAGGTGTAGTTCTATATTCAGGCTGTGGAAAATAGGTGGAAGTTGTAATTTCAGATAAAATTTTGCAGCTTCTATTTAACAAAAATCACATAACCTGCTTACATCACACACACTTTGTGTTTACAACTTAACACTGGACACAGATCGAAACAAGGTAGTGGCAGCATCATGCCGTGTTTCTAGAAGAAACAGCTGGTCAGAACTAAGGAGACACTTTGTTTTAGATTTTTAAAAACATTTTCTAAATTAAAATGACTGAATGAGTGAGTGTATTTTTTTCTCCCTTTCATTTATGTGCTACCTTGTGTTGGCCCATCAAAGGGCTCAGCAACCTTTAAAACCCAAAGAGCCATTTTGCCCTGTGTCTCAGTAAGAGTCACTTACAGCTGGAAATATATTTTAATTACACAATATTGCAAAATATTGCACAACAACTTATTATTTCTACTTTTGAAAATCTGTTGCCATTTTAAACGTCCAATAGTTTATTTATATTTTGAGCTTCAAAAATAAAAAAAGACTTTAAACTTCTCATAAAGATAAAGTATGAACACATAATTTTAAATAATAATAATAATAATAATAACTGGAAAAATAGATCTAAAAACATATTTCTGGTCCTTTTAGTGTCAAACTATTGTGAATATCTAATTGAGATATTCTTTACAAACTCCAGTAAAGCTTCTAAGACTGGTACTCTGCTAATACACTACATTTGTTGGGTATTTATATCATTTTTAGCTGTTATTAAAAGCCCCTATAGCGCATCATGGAGCCTGCCTATCACATGAAATGTATTAAATGTGTGATTTTATAAATTAGTCTGATAGAAAATAGTTTTTTTTACATGTTTTCAGCTATCCTGCTTGTTTTTGTAATGAGGTTTGCTTTTCTGTCACAAGGAAAAGCAATATTTCCTGCACACTGACCGAACAGGAGCAACCTTGCTTGTTGTCATAATAAGGCCAAATCTGCCAAATAAAAAAAAAAATCAACTGGGACGTTAAAACTTTTGAAATGCATAAAAAGTGTTTAAAAAAATCACTCCCTGGAATAAGTTAAAATCTTGAATCTCTTCATCTGTTGACTCCAAAGCATGTGGGCTGCGACAACATCCTGGGCTCTGGCGCTAAAGAAGATCGATGTCGTGTGTGCGGAGGGGACGGCAGCACCTGTGAGGCCACAGAGGGGCTCTTCAATGAGTCTCTGCCTAGAGGAGGTAAAAAATGTCTGCCCTGAGTTTTAAGATAAGGGACTTAGGGATGTTCTGTCCCATCAGAGTTTAGTCAGAGCAGCAGATACGCTGCGGAGGACAGAGATAGTACTTTTCCCTTAGCTCCTGTGACCATATGTGACACAGCAGACGTGTATAAGATCAACAAAATGATTCAGCCCCTTGTTTTACAGCCTTAAATGCCTCAGAAGCAGGGGGGTCATTTTCCTTTGTCACCCAGCTACACAGCATATGTTTGCAGCTCTGTCAAGATACAGATCATAACTTATATTTCCTGTTAATTCAATCAGGGAGCCAGAAATCAGCAGACAGGCCTACGGCGTAAAGTGTAGACTGAGTTGGTCTATCGAGAGCATGAGTAGGAGAAAACATATTTCTCCTTCTATGGTATGGCTTATAAACCACCTAAAAATACGATGTGTGCATGATGGACTGTAAAAAGAAAAAAACTGAGCCGTTTTGTCCTCCTGCAGGACTTGCTTTATCCTTTTTTGGGTGATTTGGAATTTAATCTATATGTATTCCTACTTAGAATCATACGTCAGCTCATGTCTCATAATTGCTGAAGTAATATGTCACACAGAGATGAAGATTGGTTGAGGTGGAAAGTTACTATACCTCTAAAATATCTCCTTTATTTTTCGCTTTTAGGTTACATGGATGTGGTGCAGATCCCGAAAGGATCAGTTCACATTGAGATTAGAGAAGTTGCCATGTCAAAGAACTACATAGGTGAGTATCGGACTTAATTAAGGCTGTGTTATGATAACATAAAGGAAACCTGACAACCAAGTCAGTAGGATGAGATATCAAAATATGTTGTGTTTTTTTTTTGTTTTTTTTACTGGCAAAATCAGCTGGAAGTGTTGAAATTTCTGGATGAATCCCGTCCAGTCTTGAATGTGCGTTATAAAAACAATTGAGCTGATTTTGTGTTCTTTCTGCAGTGGAATTTCCTTCTTAAGTGCCTTTTAAATATTTTTTTATGCAACATATTATCTGAGAATTGTACATATTCATCTGGTGTTAGGTTTTTTTTTACCTCCGCTAAGGATTATGTGTTTAGGAGACAACTTGAAAAGGTATGGATTTATTGTACAGGAATTTTTTTTAAGTTTCTCTAACATTGTGAGATCGGCCTATTTGGCGGAACAAGCAGTTCCCCACTAAACCAGAGGGTGGCAGCAGAGACTATTGACAGCCTCATCATCGGACTCAAAACGTCCGTAGGTATTTTACTGAAGACAAAAACACAAGAAAGGGGAAAGTCGTTGGTTTGTTAGCATGATCAATTGAAAAATTTTAAAGGACATTTTCAAATAAAGGTGTGCCTCACGTCAAGGAACAATAAATAAAATTTGGTAATGATCCAGATCATGTGAGAGTTTTAGCTATAGGTGTAAGTCATGATTTGGGGCAAAATTTGCTGCTTGTTGTTCTGTGCTCTCTGAGTGATTTTGTCATGATCGGTTCTCTAATGGAGACCCAAAGATGCAGAACACCACTGACGGACACAGGATGAAAAGTTTAACAAGTTTATTGGCACAAGCACAGAATATGCAGATGAATGGTTTGGGCCTGGAATCTGGTTTCACCGGAGTCTTGAGGGTTCTTGAGGTTCTCCTTGGGAGAGTCACTGTTGGTTCTGGAGAAGGATGTGTTAGCAGAGTCCGTTAGCTGCTTCAGCGTCTCACGTCTTATTAGAACAGACCTTGGCTTGGGTTTCCTAGCTCTTGCCCAGAGCTGCTTGGAGGTTGACTGAGAATCTTCAGGGTTTGGCTCGGAGGGTCGGCTCGGCAGGTTAGCTCTTCCAGAGCTTTCACGGAGGAAGCACGAGTCACCAACTGGAACATCACTGCGGCGTTGAGGTAAGGTCTGAAGGCAGCTTAAGTAGTGGATCCTCTGATGGTCTTGATGAGCTGCACCTGTGCAGGAGGCTCCCTCAGAGGATCCACGGCGGACTCTGCTGGACTCTCCCAACAGTACCCCCCCCTCAACGACCGCCCCTTGGCGGTCCGGAGGAAGTGGAAGGACGGGAACGCTCGTACTCCTCGATCAGGGCAGGATCGAGGATGTACGAGCCTGGGACCCACTGTCGATCATCTGGTCCGTAGCCCTCCCAGTCGACGAGGTACTGCCAACCGCGACCTCGTCGACGGGAGTCTACAATACGGCGGACCGTGAAGGCTGGATGGCCATCGACTTCCAGGGCGGTTGGTGGGGAGTCGGATGGCGGGCACAAGGGGCTCGAGGAAACAGGCTTGATCTGGGAGACATGGAAGGTCGGATGGATTCGGAGGGAAGGAGGAAGTTGGAGACGGACAGCTGACGGGTTGATGACACGGGAGATTTTGAATGGGCCTATGAATCTCGAGACATCCCCTTGAGGGGGATGTCTCGAGTGGAAAGCCACACTTCCTGGCCCACAGAATACTCAGGGGCGGGGCGTCTCTTGGCGTCAGCGAAACGCTTGGTTGATTCAGCTGACTGGTTGAGTGTGGCAATGGTCTCCCTCCAAATCCTTCGACAGCGACGGATGTGATGATTAACGGACAGCACCGATATCTCTCTCTCATCTGCGGGGAAAAGAGGTGGTTGATATCCAAGACTGACCTGGAAGGGCGACTGTCCAGTGGATGCGGAACGGAGAGAGTTGTGGGCATACTCTATCCAGGGAAGGTATAGGCTCCAATCCACCGGGTTATTGGACGTTAGACAGCGGAGAGTGGATTCCAGATGCTGGTTCATACGCTCGGTCTGGCCATTCGTTTGGGGATGGTAACCTGAGGTGAGAGATGGTTTGCATCCGAGCGCAGAACAAAAAGCCTTCCATACCTGGGATATGAATTGGGGACCTCTGTCCGATAGAATTTCCTGGGGGATGCCATGAAGCCGGAACACATGTTTGATAAGAAGCTGGGCTGTCTGGAAGGCCGTGGGAAGTTTTCTCAGGGGGACTAGATGGCAAGACTTAGAGAAACGGTCGACAATGGTTAGTATGGTGGACATACCTCGGGAGACAGGGAGACCGGTGACGAAATCAATGGCTATGTGGGACCATGGGCGCGAGGGAACAGGTAGAGGTTGAAGGAGACCAGAAGGAGGTTGATGCGAAGCCTTGTTACGAGCACATGTGGGACAGGCCAACACATACTCTCTAACATCACGATGGAGCGTGGGCCACCAGAAGCGCCTGGAGATTAGAGCGACAGTCCTACTCACTCCTGGATGGGCGGAGAATTTTGCGGCGTGCATCCACTGGATCAGACGGGACCTGACAGAAGAAGGAACATATGTGCGGTTAGACGGACCGGTACCTGGATCTGGTTCGGTGGCTAGGGCTGAGTTGATTAGGTCCGTTATTTCCCAGTTGACCACTCCAACGGTGCATGAGGCTGGGAGGACAGGTTCAGGTGTCTCTGGATGATCGGCAGAGTAGAGACGAGAGAGAGAATCGGGCTTCACGTTCTTGGATCCGGGTCTGTAGGTGATAATGAGGTTGAATCTGGAGAAAAAGATGGACCACCTGGATTGGCGAGGGTTAGCTTGTTTGATTGACTGGATATGAGCCAGATTTTTGTGATCAGTCCACACAAGGACCGGATGCTCAGCTCCTTCCAGCCAATGCCTCCATTCCTCCAACGCCAGTTTGATTGCCAGGAGCTCACGATCACCCACATCATAATTTTGTTCAGCAGAGGAGAGCTTACGGGAAAAATAGGCACAAGGGTGTATTCTTTGATCTGAGTCGTCTTTTTGGGAGAGAACAGCTCCAACACCGGAATTTGAAGCGTCCACCTCAAGGATGAATTGTCTCGAAGGATCAGGTTGAATTAGCACGGGTGCTCTGGAAAACATGGATTTCAATTTCTCGAATGCAGCTTGGGCCTCGGGAGTCCACTGAAAAACTCGTTTGGAAGAAGTTAGTGAGGTTAATGGCAGGGCGGTTTGGCTATAGTTCCTGATGAAGCGGCGATAGAAGTTAGCAAACCCTAAAAACCTCTGTAATTGCTTTCGATTCTCAGGTACTGGCCAATCTAGGACTGCCTTGATCTTGTCCTCAGAAGGTTTCACCTGGCCGCCCTCGAGCACAAACCCCAGAAAGGTAACGGAAGACTGATGAAATTCACATTTCTCGGCTTTCACGAACAGCTTATTCTCCAGTAGTCTCTGTAGAACGAGACGGACGTGTCTCTTGTGTTCATGGAGATCCTTGGAATAAATGAGAATGTCATCAATGTAAACAAACACAAATACGTTGAGGAAATCTCTGATAACATCATTCACAAGGGCTTGGAAACAGGCTGGGGCGTTAGTCAAACCAAAGGGCATCACCAGGTACTCAAACTGGCCCAAGGGTGTCTTAAAGGCTGTCTTCCATTCATCACCCTCTCGAATTCTGAGGAGGTGATAAGCATTTCTTAAATCCAGCTTAGTAAAGACAGTTGCACCCTGCACTGGTTCAAAAGCTGAGGCGAGAAGAGGCAGTGGGTATTTGTTTTTAATAGTTATTTGGTTCAAACCTCGATAGTCAATGCATGGCCTCAGAGAACCATCCTTCTTGCCCACGAAGAAAAAACCGGCGCCCAGAGGAGAGGATGAAGGACGGATTATTCCAGCAGCCAATGATTCGTTGATGTATTTCTCCATAGTCTCTCTTTCTGGTTTGGAAATATTATACAGTCTGCTGCTTGGGAGAGGAGCACCGGGTAAAAGTTCTATGGCACAATCGTAGGGTCTATGTGGAGGTAGGGACGTCGCACTGACCTTACTGAAAACGGGGGCTAGGTCGTGATACTCAGAGGGAACAGAAGAAAGGTCAGGAGAGTCCATCTCCCCCCCACCTCTAGGAGGCCCCGCCATCGGGGCAGCAGAACGAAGGCATGTTTCGTGGCACGTAGTAGACCAAGATTCCAGGAGACGTTTGGTCCAATTTGTGTGAGGGTTATGCTTCTCCAACCACTCGAATCCAAGGACCAGGGGGGAACATGCAGAAGGAAACACAAAAAAGGTGATAGTTTCTCGGTGGTTACCTGACAGAAGTAGCTCGAGGGGCTGGGTTTGGTGGGTAACACGATGGAGTCTCTTTCCGTCTATGGCAGACACACTGAGAGGCTGAGACAGGGGAATGGTTTTAATCTGAAGCTGCTGGACGAGCTCAGAGTCGATTAGATTGCGCTCACAGCCTGAGTCAATGAAGGCGGAGAAAGAGAGACTCTGGTTATTACAGAACAAAGTTGCTGGCAGCAAAAGTTGAGGAGATTTACTTGAATTTATATGGCCCGCCAGACTCCTCATATCCTCTGGCGGGCCCCGGCTTTTGATTTTGCCGGGCAGGAGGCGATAAAGTGACCACTCTCACCACAGTATATGCAAAGTTTTCCAAGAAAACGTCTCTGTCTCTCCTCAGGAGAAAGCCTAGTGTGTCCCACCTGCATAGGCTCATTATTCCTTTTGCCTGAATGAGAGGCCTGAACAGGCAACGATAGAGTCTGTGGCTTAGATCTCTGTGTGGACATCTGCTCTGTAGAGGGAGAGAGAACAGCCATATTATGAGTGGCGGAGGAAAAATTACTTTGCTTCTTGGAGGTGTTTCTGGCTCGAATTCTGTTATCTAATCTGATGGCGAGACGAATAAAATCGTCAAGGGAAGCTGGTTCATCGAGGGTAGCAAGTTCATCCTTGATTTGTTCATTTAAAGCCATGAAAAATGCTCCCTTTAGAGCGCTCTG